AATGGATACCCGAGTGCGAGGGCATTTACGGGGTGTACCATAGCGGCAATCCACTGAAGCCCCGTCCCAGTCTGAACATCCCGTTCCCCATTGAGCAGGGAGGCATAAAGATTTTGCGGCCACTCCTTGATTTTGAAAAGGCACGACTTATTGCGACATGCGAAGAGAAGGGCGTTGCTTGGGCAGAAGACAAGACGAACCAGATACAGACGTTGACGTCTCGCAACGCTATACGTCATATCTACAAGAACCACAAACTTCCAGAGGCACTAAGCGTCAGATCGTTGGTTGACGTGTCGTTGCATATGCAAGAGCGTGTCAAGAAACACAAGGATTTTGCAAAGGAGCTCTTTGAGAAATGCCTAATAAAACTCGACATTCAAACAGGCTGTTTGGTTGTCCGATTTCCACCCTTCTCAGATCTCCTTCCGCGCCCAATTGAGACGATTGCCGACAAAATAGAGGCAAAGAATACGGCCTACGGCCTCTTGGAACGGGTCGCCGAATTGGTTACGCCACGAGCCAAGGCGCCTCTCGGCCAGCTTGCGGCGACTATACATCGCATCTACCCAGAGCTTGAGGAGTTGGAGGATGACGATGTGGGTCACTGGGATGGAGTTCGTAAGAAGAACTACTGTGTCTTTAGTGTATGGTGGCGGTTCTGGGATCAGCGGACTCCCTTTCCTGAGCATGACGAACACGGTATTGATCTATCGTTGCCGCATCCGCGAGAATGGCTCCTCACGCGGCAGCCTCTTGACACGAACGAGAGGAAAGATGCTGCAAATTATCTCGTTTATCTCCCGTCTTCAAACTCCCGCCCCTCTCGGAGCGAGCCATTCCGCCTCTTTGACGGCCGTTATTGGATCCGGTTCCACAACCTTCTTCCCAGGGACAAGCTTATTATTCGGATTTTTAACAAGGCCGATGCTCACCTCTTACCCACATACCAGCAGAATAGAGCCGACATGCTGGATGTAACCCGTGCGCGCCCGTACCGCTTCATCTTGGCAGCCTTGGACTTGCTCCGGCCATCTGACGTGCGCTATACCCTGCCGGCTGTGTTCCGAAAGGACCACGAGACTGGGTTGGAGACGCTGGTGGGGTTCCCGACGCTAGATGTACGGATAGATGGGTTTGGAGCGCCTGAAGGCGTGTGTGAGTGGAGTGTGAGATATAAGAAAATTGAGCTTGGCTCTAGAACAGCAGGGCAGATTGTGGTGCCTGGCAGCACGAGAAAAGACATCGTTATCGAGGATAAGAAACAGGTGGTTGTTCAACAAGGTGCGGAGAAGGCACGGTTGCGCAAACAGAAGCAGCGTGAAGAGGGTCAGCTACAACGTGCTCGGGAAGCGGGTCGTGGTGATGATGCTTTGACGGGTGAGAAGCGTATGGTGGGACATGTTGATGGACGACGCAGACGGAGTAACGGGATGGAAGAGAGAGCTGCTGAAAAGAAGGATGCAGTGCAGGTTGAGGGGAGAGATGACGATAGGAAGGAGTGAGTTGGGAAGGAGCCATTGAGGCATGGGAATTGAAGATGGACGACTAATGCTGCTTTCCTCTTTGTATTATGTAGCGATAATATGTCGGGCTCTTCTTTTCCCATCATTTTGCTCTATATTTCTCCTCTTACTTTTGGTGGTTCGCATGCAGTAGAGTAAATGTAGTAGAGCGAGCGTCTACCCAAGACGTTGTATCCACGAATGACTGGGGTTGATGTCATGGCGTGTCAGTAGGGGAAGGAGCCAACAAGCAACATGACCTAAAAAGCAAGGGTATGTACAAACCCGTTTAGGTAGTGTGGACGTTTCACGCTACATCCTATAACGTTTATTTCGCACGTCTACTGCAGAAAAAGCAAAGAAAAACCCCAGTGTTCACTGGGCGTCATCACATGTTGTTGCTGGATTTGGGAGGCTGGGAAATGGGCACACATATGTACGTACAATCACATGTGGCAGGTGGCCCTTCTCCGTTGAAAGAAAGGGGTACAAGCACAGCGCTACGCCATAGTTCACTATTGGCATTGTAGCGAGTCTGGTCGAATCGAGTGCTGGTGCAGGGCGCGCACGTGCGTATTAGCAGCCAAAAAGGCCAGAGTAGGTAAGTAGCGTTTGTTAGTCAGGGACGCACCGGCTCCACCATCGTGCAAGTCAACATTTTGGCATGCGGCTCTTTTGTTCGCCCTGCGGCACCATTGCGACGGGGCGCACGTACGCCGGCCTAAGCAAGAGAGGCTACTGTGGCGTTATTGTCGGTTTCCAAATCGTTGGGACGGCGCGCGTTGGTGTAGCGGTGCTAGAGACGTGATGCGAGGCTGGTGTGATGGTGGTGATTATGTGTGGGGAGAGGAGCGCCAAAAGGAAGGAAAGAGGGATTGCAGGGTGTGGGGAATGCTGAAACGTCAACGTCTAGCTTGCGCGGTAATACGTGGTGTGCAGTCAAAAAAAAGCAAAAGGAGAGGAGCGCCCGTTACGAAAGAGACAAGAGGCATGTCGTTGCCATGGGCTATATACGTGGTTCGCAGCTCGTAGCCAGGAGATGAGATGTCCATGCATTTTCATGTACAGGGGCGGGCGGCGGCATCAGTCATAGTCAAGTATTAGCCTTTGAGCCAAAAGAGGGTGGGGATTGAACACAGAGCCGCTCTGGATGCACAGGCCCTCAGGATACACCCGTGGCATCTTGTCGCCAAAGTTTTCTTGCGCGTCCGACATTGATTGCCCATTTTTCCTAGCTGTGGCGGTGAGGGGAGGGGGGTAATGAGGGTTAGGGGAGGGAGCCAGTCACATAGGCGGGAAATAACAGGGTGGGTGGGTGCGTCGGTCCATGTCGACGACGTCGCGGCACTATAGAGAGATTATTGGCTTCTGGAAGATCTGCCATTGTGGAGTGGGAGTGGCTGGCTCTGTGCGTGCGTGCCGCGGATACGGGATGAGTATGTAGCAAGCGGCAGCGGAGCACACAACAGAGAGGCACACACACCCAGAGAGAGGTTGGGAGTGAAAAATCAGCCGCCAGATGAAAGGAGGCTACGTGCAGATCAACCTAAACGGGCGGGCTGATATGCACAATGGACGGCTTCTGCAGCGGTGTCTCATGTAGGGTGGGCATTTGATTGGAGTGATAGATGGGATATGGTTTTGGCACATGTCAGGCAAATGTCCGATTGGGGATGCTCAGGCTGGAAGATGGTTTTTGCACGGTAGGAGTTTCCCTTTGCCCTCCCCCCCTTTGACGTGAGGGGGGAGGATGGGTCGCAATAAGCCGGACAGTGGCCCTAGTTCACATGGGCCAGGTGTTTTGGGCTGATCAGAGGGAGGGGGGACCTGTGTTTTGTGGGTAAGAGTCAGACGAGATTTTTGCAGCAATTTTCCCACTCCACCCGCTCCTGTGCGGGGACCTGAATCAGGGCAAATCTCAAGTACGATGGGCAAATTTGGCGGCTTTTGGGCGTTGGAGGGCCAATGGTGGCGTGCCGTTTGCCGGTGCGTGGGTTGACGTGACTTGACGACAGGCGGGCAGGCAGGGCGGGGGTCCACGTGCATGTCAGTGTCAGAGGGGCTGGAGTGGGAGGCAGAAGTGAAGATGAGTTCGCGGCGGCACCAAGTAGCCTCGTCGTGCTGTTCGGCTGCATTGGCTGCATTTGCCAGGTGTCGAGAGCAGCCAATTTGATGGCCAGGGTTGGTTGATGGGCTTTTTGTAAACGGGGATCAGCGCTTGGGCCGAGAGCGAGAGCGGCAGACTGGCGATTCGTTGTGCATGCAGGGCCGCTAGAAGTGCCTCGCCGTGGATGTGCTGTGTACACATGTAAGACGGGCCTTGGCAATGGCGCGTCAAGGTTCGACTCGAGTTGTGCAGACCTGCCTGGCCATGGCGGAGGTGGTGGTGGTGATGATGATGATGATGATGATGATGATGATGGTGTTGCACGTGGTGCCATGTGAGTACTGCATGTACATACTACTCACGTACTGTGTAGTAGTATGTAAGCATGTACGCACCTTGACATGGTCATAGTACATGTGTGTGTCTACATAGTACTCTGTACACACAACACATACAATACATGCAATATGTATGTATCTCGATACATTCACATGTATGTATCCATGTACATCCATCATCCATCATCCATCCATCCATCCACACACACACACACATAGCATATACGCGGAGGTGCCGGGCCTTGGGTGGGCGGCCACTCTGAGGCGATGCCATGATATCACGTCTGCAGGCTAACGCATGTCTCGTGAGCCATGCAAAAAAGGCGTCTGGATCAACGGCGGTTGGCTCATGGCTTCAAACAAGCTGGTGGAAGAGGGGCAGCGCGATCATGCGACCTGGCTACGCCCATGTTGTTTGGCTACCCGGCTACCCAACCTTATCCGATACGTGACCACCCTCCCACCCTTTGCCCAACACTTGCCATGCCCCTCGCCATCACCATCGCGCAACCTGCCGCCCCGTGTCTGCCCTGCCCGCCCGCCGCCAACTGCCACTGCTGCCTCCAGCTAAAGTAGTCGCTAGACATCTGCCTCGCCCGCCCATCGGCGCCAAAAAAGACAATGTCGGCGTGCACAGTATAGTGTTTCAGGGCGTGAGCATTGCATAACATGGCAAAGGGTGCTATTCGGACAGGCTAGTTGCAGGCGGGTCCGCCTAGTGGACGTGCTGCCGCGAAGACCAATTTCGTTGCTTGCCCCCCTGCACCATGACCCCTACCTAGCAACACCGCCCTTCACATTAAAGTTCTCCCACCCCATCACTGCTCGACGTTTTTCCTATCCTTCTTCCCTCCCTACACCGCTGTTCGCTCCCTTGCCTCACGAGGTTCCAACTTGCTTGTTTGCCGCTGCACCTTGCGAGCCTGGAACTTTCCCTTTCTGTACTCCCTTTGTAATACACAAACCCCCAAAGCCCCTCTTCTTCGCCCAGATACCCCTTCACCCACACTTTTTTTCTTCGCCCACGCAAACCCCCTCCCCCACGCAACCATGTCTGCCCCAGTCGAAGCACCAAAGACCGTCGACCAGACAGAGGTTGTCGGTACCACTGAGGCTGCCCCCGCCCCAGTCCTGGCCGCCGACAACACTGTCGCCCCCGTCGCAGAGCCCAAGACTGAGGAGGCACCCAAGGAGGAGCCTGTTGCCGCCGCTGAGGAGACCAAGGCCGACGAGGCTATCAAGGAGGAGCCAAAGGAGGAGAAGGTTGTCGAGCCCATCTACAGCGGTGCTCTCGGCTACAAGGCCCCTGGCCTGAAGAAGTGAGTGTGCTCGTGTGCATCTTCTGTTGACAAACATTGTACTGACCACCACCAACAGCGCCTTCCGCTTTGCTAAGAAGTTCTTCTGGTTCGGCGAGGAGCCCGTCGCCGCTGAGAGCCTGGGCGAGTACCTCCGTGGTGAGAAGCCCGAGGTTGCTCACCCCACCGTTGCTTGGTCCAGCCAGACTGGAAAGGGTCTCCTTTTCTTCGTCAAGCACGCCGACAAGAAGGACCAGCCCGCTGGTGTCCTGAACTTGGTACGCTCCCGCCCTGAACAAATTCGCCGATGCACTCCCCACTAACACGTGGACAGGCCTACGCCACTGATCTCGCCAAGGACGGTGCTCTTGCTTTCGCATTCAAGCTCTCTGGCCACAAGCACGCCTTTGAGGCTTCGACCACTGCCGAGCGCGACGGATGGTTTGTCGCCGTTGAGAAGGCCATCACCGAGGCCAAGGCCTCCAAGGACACCATCGAGTCCAGCGAGGGCTACAAGGAGGCAAAGGAGAAGATTGGTACGTAAATGAGTCGTGCCTCGCATCCTTCGTGATGTGAGGCCGCTAGTGGGCGATCTTGCCGTTCGACCTGCAGAACACTAACAACGCGCAGGCAAGCCCACCGCGCTAGCGGGCGCTACCGCCGCTCCCAAGAAGAGCATGGACGTTGCTCCCAAGCTCGCTGAGGGCGAGGCTTCTGAGCCCGCCGCTGCCCCAGCTCGCACTGGATCTTCCTCCAGCTCATCTTCTGATGATGCCAAGGCAAAGAAGGCCAAGAGCAAGTCTCGCTCTGTTTCTCGTGGCAAGCGCGCCAGCCTCCTCGGCGGACTCCTCGGAAAGAAGGACAAGGAGCCCAAGACTGAGAGCGAGGCCGTCAAGGAGGAGCCAGAGACCAAGGCTGAGGAGCCCGCTGCCACTGCTCCTCACCTCGATGAGAGTGAGTTGAATTGAACACCACTGCATGTGATTTTTGACTAACAATGTCTAGTCCCCACCACTGCTCCCGTCGACGCCAACGATGTTGTCAAGCCCGCCGAGACCACTGCTGAGCCCGCTGCCCCCGTGGCGGCTGTTCCCATCGAGGAGGCTCCCAAAGCTGAGGAGCCCGCTGTTGCCGCCGCTGCTGCCCCCGAGAAGCCCAAGCCCACCAAGCGTGCTTCCATCTTCGGCACCTTTGTCGAGAAGCTCAAGTCGCCCACCACTGAGAAGAGGGAGGCCGAGGCTGGTCTTGCTGCCACTCCTGTCAAGGAGAACGAGACCGTCGCTGAGCCCGTCAAGCCCGTCGAGGAGACTGCTCCCGTTGCTGCTCCCTCTGCCAACGAGGCTGCCGCTGCTGAGCTGAACAAGGACGAGACCAAGCCCGTCGTTGCAACCAGCACCCCATCCAAGGAGAAGGAGCACTTCAGCTTCGGCAAGCTCTTTGGCAACAAGGACCGCGCCAAGTCGCCCGCCGCCCAGGAGAAGCTTCCTGAGCCCAAGGCCGATGCCGCTCCTCAAATCGAGGATGCTTCAGCCCCCGCCGCTACCGAGGCTGTTGAGGCCACCCCAGCCACCACTGAGGCTAAGCCAGAGACCACTGAGGAGCCCAAGCAGGACAAGAGGAAGTCCTTCTTCGGCAACCTTGGTCGTTCGCTGAGCAAGGCCACTGGCAACAAGAGCCAGGCCAACAAGGAGAAGAAAGAGGCCGCTGCCGCCCCCGCCCCGGTTGTCGAGGAGGAGACCGCTCCCGCTGCCGTTCCCGTCGCTGAGGAGAAGAAGGAGGAGGAGGCTGCCGCTCCCGTTGCCCCCGTCGCTGAAGTCCCCGCTGAGAACAGTGTGGGCGATGCTTCGAAAAGCGCCAACCCGACTGTCGCTACAACTGCGTAAGGTCTGGTGGGAAGATGTCAGCCTCTGCAACGACAGCCACGACGGAATGACGGAAAAGCAAAGACACCGTAAATCCCTTGTTTGACCGTACGGCCAACCCGATACCCATCCAAATGTGCCTTGTGTCTTTTACTAGATTCGAGGCGTAGCATTTTGGACCAAACTTTCCTTGACTCTGTTCGACGTTTCCTTGCATCTGGACCAACTCCTCGTCACTCTTTCCGCGTGGATCACCATCTGTGTGGCATTGACATGTAGGAGGCGTCCATTTTTGGCTGTTCTTTGCTTCATGCCCACTGCTTGTTTAGACTGATACCACTGCACCTGTTTCTCTCCTTTTTGATACCATTGGCTGTTTTGGTCGCAACTTGTTTTATCGCGCAATACCCCGGATACCCTCTGCGTACAGCCTTGTTAGGTGTACACAAGCGGCCACTAGGGCACACATCGACGTAATAATCTCTAATACACTGTCGTTTGCTCTGAAATCCTTGATTTTTTTTTATGTCGTGATGCTTGGCCTAGTGACGAATTGGTGGTGATGGCGCGGTACATGCCGGCAGGCTGTGCAGCGACGGATGACTGCGTACGTCGATCGACAATGCATCAAGAGTCTGAATGCAGACAGTCCGTGTACACGAGACCAATTTGACCGGCCTGGGCCGTCCCTTAGGCATGCACACACAGCAAGCCTGGGATAGCCGGTTCAAGGTTGGAGTCACGGGGCAAAGGGTACAAGGACCGTGACATCGTCCAGCCTTGGTCCAAAGGATTGCGTCCATCGATCGATATCTCCATGCCGCCCCCGATACAGGAGTAGCCTCGCCACAGCCCCGGCCCTTCCAACTTTCTTACCCTCTCCATCCGAGAGCCAATATGCGCATGCAATTGTTGCAAGCACATCTATACACGCCAATCATATCGCTAGAACGATATCTCCAAACTTTCTGCTAGATGACCCGAATGACTGCCTGTTCAGGCAAAGATTGAGGGGTAGCAACGGGCACCTAATTCCAACATGGTACGAAAACCTTCCTTAGTCGCCTAGCGAGTCACGCAAACATTACCATGAATATCAAGTCTAAGACGAGAGTGTTTTTTCCTTGCATCTAGGGTTGTTGCGCATCTCGTCAGACCGACGAAGCACCAGGTGCCGCGCGAGCGCATTCGTCGTCGTCACGCCACAACATTACTGCACCCTCGACACAACGCAGTCCGTCCACTTCGCCGCGCGCATCGCATATCTCACACGGCAACCATGCGCTTCCTTCCTCTTCTTCCTCTCCGCCTCCAGTGCAGGCCATCGAGCGCCCAAACATCCCGCTGAAACCCATTCAGCCCTTCCAACGCTCTCGTCTTCCCAACACCCTCGCTGCCGCTGCCGCAACCACGAAGCCCAGCTCCCGCGTCAAGCCGCTGACAGATCCCACGGCGCTCAAGTGGACGCGCGCGCGCCTGGAGAAAGAGCGTCAGGACTGGTGGGATACGCAGGTCACGGGGTCGCCTGAGATATGGGGCGCTATTCGTCTGGCGGCGCAGCACCTGCAGGCTGGTGAGCTACAAGAGGCGCAAACGATGCTGGATGTGACGGGGTGCACGTGTCCGTCGGGATTAGTATGGCGCGGGGTTTTTGATGCCACCGGCGTGCAGTACAAGGTTCCCGAGTGGGTGGTTGTCGAGCCTGAGGGAGTGGTTGAAGAGGATGACGATGAGGAGGAGGGGGTGGGTGCTGAGGTTGAGGAAGAGGAGGGGGGCGACGAGGAAGTGAATGTGAGAGTAAGGATGAGCCATGATTCCAAGGATGTGACGGTTCGGGTGCATAGGAAGGAGAGTGTTGCGAAGATTATAGAGAAGATCAAGGATGAGGCCAAGGTATGTCTTCTTTACATTTACATTTGCATATCGTTTCGTTTCTCTCTCGGCTTTACACAAGACTTTCCGTCTTTCGATCAAACTAACCAAATCCATAGCTCGACCCTTTTGCCAGAATCCGGCTCGCATATGGCGGGCGCGTGTATCACGAGCATGAGAGCCTGGAGGCCCATCCCCATTGGAACTTTGATAATCAATTTGTTATTTCCGGCTTTGTGTTTCTCTGAATCTACGGTAATGTAGGTGGGGAAGGGCGTATATACTTGTGAGTAATTCCCGTGACGGAGACTAATTTATAATGTTTGTCGACTTGATTTGAGGATGGATGCGAAGTGAAGATAGACTGAACTTTGATATATTCTCAACAGTAGAGCAAAAGGGAAAACTGACATAAACGACTGATCAACTATAACTTCCCGCAGCCCAACTCCCCCGGCTCTCCCTTGAATCCCGTCCCTCCCACGAAATCGTAACCTCATTCGGACTCCCATCCTTCCCCTCAATATAATCATACTTGATCCGCCTCCACCTCAACGCGCGATGCTCCTTAATCTCCTCGCCACTCATATTCAACCCACTCTCCCCAATCTTCATCACCACCGGCCTCAACAACATCGCCATACTAAAATAACTATCATCCCTCACAATCGTGCGATTCGCAAACAGCACCAGCAAACACAGCGCCAGCAACTGAATGAAACAGATGCCGCCCAGGATACCGAGGACATACGGCCAATCGACATCCAACTGCTGGCCCTGCGACGGCACCGCCGTCTGGTTCGTAAGGTTATACTTGACGCCGTGATCGTCAAACGCAGCGATGGCGCCAATGGTAAACCGCATGAGCATATCCTCGACGTCTTTGGCCTCGACATTGCGCGCAGGCGACCACTTGGAGCCCTGGCTGTACGACCGCGATTGGCGATCCGTCCACTGATTCCAGGGTATCCCCGTCCAGCCTATTGCGCCGGCCGCGATACGCGCGAAAGCGTCGTTGCCGTACACGGCAGCGCGGTCTTCAGCCGAGTACGTAGTAATGTTTTTTTCGGCGTGTGCATGGTAGATGTCCAGTAAAGTACTGTTGCAGAGGAAGAAGGAGGTTTTGTTTACTTTGTTGCCTGCGTCTTGGAGGACGGTGAAGTTTGTGCAGCGGGGCCCGCAGGAGGCGGGGACCGAGGCGGTCCAGGTGATGGAGCCCCTGGCGGTTTCGGTGAGGTAGTATTGCGAGTAGGCGTCTTCGCCGGGGCGGCGCGCGTTGACGTACGTGCCTTTGACGACGGTGCCGTTGCCGACTTCGAGTTGCTCGCAGGTGGCGTGGGCGGAGACGCTGCGCGAGGAGCTGAGGTAGTTGGTGTAGGGGTGCGCGGGGTCGCGGTTGAAGAAGCGGTAGTGGTACATGCCGTCTGCTTTGTAGATGGGGGTGCCGGAGAGGCCGGAGAGATCGTATTGGATGTCGCTGAGGTTGAAGACGGGGTAGGCTGTGGCTTCTGTGCCAAATGTCCATGCGGCTTCGAGCGACGTCTCGTTGGCGAGGCTGCTGATGCCGTCTTCGCGGGAGCTCTCGTCGACATGCCAGACGTTTAGGTTGGCGACGCTGACGTTGCCGGGGACGAAGAGGGGGATGGCGGAGTTGTCCATGGGCCAGAAGAGACTAAGCAGCGCGACGAGGATCTGCGAGCCGATGTTGATGGAGAGCCAGACGAAACATGCGAGCCACATCCACTTTGTATCGTCGTCACGTACGTCCTTGAACCATCGGAATCGGCGTAGCCACTTCTTGCCGCGGAGCCCAGGCATCGAGATGACCATGAGTTTGGCGACTCTGGCGAGCGAGCCAAAGTGGAGGATGAGGTCGAATACCTCGAGGCTGACGTACCGCCGAGCGAGGAATGACCATCGGAAGAAAGAGGCGTAGTGCTTGAGCGAAGCCAGTAGGTTGAGACCTAAGCAGAGAGAAAGGCCAATGGTGAGCGAGTTGAAGATTCGAACGTCGTTCTTGGACAGCACAACGGGGTTGATAAAGCCCTCCCAGCCTCGGAGGGTCAGACACATTGCGGCGCTGAAGAAGAAGGTTATCAAGAGCCGCTCCGCGCCGTTCCTCAAAAGGTTTCTTCGTGCTTCGTTGTGGTCAAAGCGCTTCGCATGGTGGTGGTGGTTATGCCGCTGTTTCTTGGGCTGTAGTCCGCCCTCCAGGTCCAAGGCTGAAGTGCTTATCTTGGCATATGCGCCGTTTTTAGTCTCTATTATCTCTGGAGAAGTGACTGTGGGTGGTGAGTAGAGTGAGCTATCGATCTGTTGCATGGCAACATTTCCACTGTCGTAGCTTGTTGTGTCGAGGGGTGCTATCAACGGCTCATCGTCGTCGTGTGCATTGCTGGTTGCGCGACTGCGCTCCATCTTTGTCCTTCAAGGGACCGATTGGTTGGGGATTTCGAGTTTCGAGTCTGACAGTCGATACTAAAATCTGTGTAGAGTTGTACTCCTAGCATATGTTAGAAGAAGCACAAAGGACCAGGATCTCAGCGTATAGGGCTGACGGAAGGCTGCATACAGGTCTGATATCAATGGTCAACCAAATTAAGTTGTATGCATGAGGCCCGTATATGCGCGAATCGAGCTCAGAAATACAAAATGCAGTGTAGTTGAAGAGAGTTGCCCCGAATTATCATAGAGGGTCTGATTGAGGAGCAGAGCAGCGATTGCGATGAAGATAGTTCTTAAACAAAATACGCCGTCCTTATCGACACTTCGTCCTGTCCCACTGGCTATCGCGTTTGGGTGCTGGGTCTAAATTGGGGGCTGAAAGATGGGGGTGGGTGGCCTGCGGAGGCGCACCCACAAGGCTCTCTCGCGTCCGACCTAAACAAGCTGAAAAGTGCGTAGACTGTGACTGGAGAGCAAGCGTAAAGTTACCATGGTACGCGCAAGCACACAATGGATAGATGGATATTTTTATCTTTACAGCTCTTGTCTTTGCAGAACTACACGATTAGTAGCACATCGACACAGCCCCCGTACCCCGCCTCTATGTACCACAGAGTTGCACTCATATCACAACCTCAAATGCTGTGAAGCATATACCACAAGTAGAAGGCCGCCCAACTAGGGATGTTATTGTTAGATCATGCAATTTGGTGGCCGCGAGACAATTCGACAAGGTTGATCTTGCCGTCGTGCATTTGTACTGGCGCAGCCACGTTGAGGAATCGTGTGGGGGCTGAAACAACCACTACAGTACACGCTTGACGCGACAACAAGGAAATCGCACGATTGCGAAGAGGGTCCTCGGAAGCTTGAGTCCAGTATAGCTGGGAACATATAGAGCTGTTTCAGGAACACACTGGGGTCTGCATAATCAATGCGAGTCGCGGTGGGAGGAAAGAGTATCAACGGCGTTGCCAGATGTGGGAGGCGGGAATCATGAATTGGGCATTTGTGTGCGTGTATGCATCACTCAGGTGTGGTATAAAGGCATAGACATGTTGAATGTGGTGCATTGTATCTGTTTCAACGTAGTTTTGAAATGATGGACGTAGTTGGTTATGCAGGAAACGTGAAGGATAGGCTGGCATGTGTAGACGATGTTACTCAAGTGGGTCCGCAACTCCAAGGCGAACCGCACGTTTTCAGGCGTCCGAAAATCTTGCAACATAACTCCAGACTATTAAGCATTAACTAAATTCTCTGGCACTATCCCGTATCAATACACAGTGCTTGACCGGAAATATTCCGTAGGTGTATGTCAGCGAAAAAACAAAGCCATGCCATCCTTCGTGGCCGGATAGATCGTCACTTCCCCACATATGTACCACAAGATGACAAATGTAATACTGAAACCAGGCGTGCAGTCTATTGACTGATAAGGATGAAAAGTATAGCTAGTTGATATTTCAACTCCTCTTCCAATTCCACCATACACCATCCTTCACCATCGACCACCAGCAACCATGTCCTCACCAAAAGTCACCCTCTTCGACCTCCCCAGCAGACAAGGCACAACATGGTCTCTGAACCCCTGGAAAAGTACGTGACTTTACCTCCCCCAACATAGAAGCAATGTCCCAAAATGTTAAACAATCGCCTCCACAGCCCGCATAGTCCTCAACTACAAATCCATCCCCTATAAAACTGAATGGGTTGAATATCCCGACCTTGCCCCCAAATTCAAAGCCCTAGGCATCCCTCCCAACCCTGAGGACTCCCCAGGCTACTTCACCGACTACAGCAGCCCGGCAATCCAGTATGAAGACGGCACATACCAAATGGACTCGTGGCCCATTGCGCATTCCCTCGAGAAGCAGTATCCGAACCCACCCCTTCACCTCGAGGAACCCATTGTAGTCAAAATCCGAGATTTCATCAAGGACTTGATAATACCGCTGGTTCCCTTGGTGCTAACGCAGGTGCCTGATGTGTTGCTGAATGAACCCAGTGCAAAGTACTTCTTGGAGACGAGAAAGAAGACCTTTGGGAAGCCGTTGGGTCAGGTGCGGGCGGAGGCTGATGTAGAGACGTGCTGGGCAGCAGCAGCTGGACCGGCGAAGGAGGTGGGGGATTTGCTGAGGGAGAAGGAGGGACCGTTTTTCTTGGGGGAGACGGGTGAGTTACATGCAATTTTGTGTCGGAGACATTTGCGGAAGGCTAAAGCGGTGGTGTAGTGTCGTATGCGGATTTTATTTTTGTGACTTTGCTGCAGATGTTCAAGCGGATTGATCAGAGTGTGTTTGAGAGGTATATGGCACTTGACGAGACGTTTCCCAAGGTTTTTGAGGCATGCCAGCCGTGGATGGAGAAGCAGGATTAGTGTGGGGAGTGTGTGAACGAGCAAAGACAACAAGTTTGGAAAAGTAAGATATGGTTTGTCTATATATCTATCATGTCATATATGCTCCCCACGTACGAACAGCGGTGTATTAGTCCTTTCCAAGATATACACAACGTTGCATACCTTTGGCCGGTACGTCACAGAGCTGTCATTCTCATCGACCTGTGCTTGAGATTCTACATTGTCGATTTCGCGGCGTTCGACCAAGCGCCACAAGTCAGCAGGATGCGGGAACGTCATACCTTTAGGAACCACATCTGATGCGGCATCAAGGACATCAAAACGGTCTTGCGAGTACGACAAGGCTATCCAGCGGGCTCCGGGCTTTGTGACAAGTGCCAAGTTGACTGCCATGACAGCTAATGGGTGTATGGATTCCTGGGACGCAGCCGAAATTAACTGCATAGGATCATGGGAACGGATTGCTACGGGATATGGCACTGGGACAGTGATATCGTCGCAGCAAGCAATGGCGTCGGACGTCGACTTGTCGACTACAACAGAATACGAGGCACGTGAACATGCACGCAGCAAAGACTTGTAGTCGAGGAGATCGACAACATCCCAACGCATACAAGGCGCATGAACACCCTGAATATTGCCTTTTTGCTGGCTCTGATACTGGTATATTTCTTCCTCGCGGGCCTTGCCAATCTGTATGGCCACGTCGGAGTAGTCCAAGTTGTGGATCTGGCCCGGGCGGTCTACGTGGGAACGCAAATGCAAAGAGAGCAGTGATGTTCCACAGCCTATATGCAGAATCTCGGGTTTACCCGCACGGCTGGAATCCAGAGCATCGACAAGGTAGGGATCCAAGGCATTGGGCTCCTCCAGCCAATCAAAGGGATCCATGTTGGACGTGAAGCGCTCGTCCCAGTAGGCTTGGGATCCAAATGAGGGTGGGGAATTGGAAGGCATTGGTAACAACCTAGAAGGAATTGCGGTCCGAATTATGTGTATTGCGTGGGTATGTCAAATATGTCATGTGCAAAGATGAAGCAAGGAAGAAGAGAAGAAGTATGAAGATGGGCCGGCCCGAGCTTTCTCCGCGCATCTGAAGATCTTTGGAATCCCCACGACCATGTGAACTCACCCACACACCCACACACCCCATGGCTACCCTCGAATCGATACCACGCTTCCTCCTCCCGCGGGGACCTCTCCTCCTGCGAGTGCAGCCCCGTGCATTCGCTCAACTCCCCGCTCCGGCAACCCACCGCCGCCATGCCTCGTCCATCTCACCAAAAGGCCTCTCCGAAGAGTTTCGAAGACGGCGAGAGGCACAGCAGGCCAGAGGCACGCCCGTGATACCCCAGCCCGATAAATATCGCCCGCCCTCGCACAGCAAACGCGCGCCCAATCGCCAATTGGAGAACAGAGTCTATGGAGCGCCTTTGTCCGAGGAAGACCGCAAGCGCATGGCAACAAAAAAGTACCCCAACATGATGAGTCCCGAGGGCACCTTTTCGCACTGGTTTTTGCATAACCGCGCAATTCACCTGTGGATCACAATGGTGTGTTTTGCGTCATACCGCTCTCTATACAACCCCCGCTGACCCCACTTCGCAGGGCATTCTCGTCTCCCTCGCAATAGCCGCATGGTACATGGATTTTATCTCCAAGACTAGTTTCGGCCATTTGCTCCCTACACGCAAGGACTTTATGCGCCACCCTATCGAGTCGTCCTCGCGTTTTGTGGAGGTTTACAAGATGCACATGGAGCACACGTCGCAAATGTATCAGCAACAGCGGCTGAAGAAGGCGGAGGAGATCGAGAAGAGGAAGCAGTATAGGCTTGAGAGGCAGAGGGAGGCTGAGGAGAAGGGAGAGGAGTATGTCGAGGACCCGAGGTATTATGTGGGTGAGGATGGTATTCGCAGGAGGAGGGTTAAGAGGTGGTTTGGTATCTGGGAGTGAGGGCGGGGTTTGCCATATTGTCGGGCATGGTGAGACTCGGCATCAGAGTGGGAGATGTTGAGGGAGCACTGCGCCGCAGCAGTGGGTGGTGTTGGGCAGTCGTAGCGGAAGACGGAGATGAGTGGAGAAGTCGAATCACAGACTGCGTCAAGCAATTCTGTTTCAAGAAATGTACGTTACGACATGTAAGATATAAATTATTAAGCCTGTGCAGCAAACTATACCTGCACTTCTCCATCAAAAACTCTACTCTTCGTCATCCCCATCCCCCCTCCAACCCTCCCACACCTCATCCCCAGGCACCATCCCCTTCTCCACCCCACAAAGTTCATCTACCTCCCTTGGCACTCTCCAATTCCTCATCCCCTCCACCCCTGTCGCAAACACCATCATAAGCCCCGCCTCAGTATGCCACCCAATATGACAATGAAACGCCCACACTCCCGGGTTATCCCCTACAAAGCTAATAAGTAACCACCCGTACGCCTCTACACTCGCCGTATCCCTTCTCAGCGGATTCGTCGTGTCGAAATTTTGCTCGTGGAGGGGCGAAGGAGGATACCCATGTCCTTGAGCTAGCACGAAGAACTTGTAGCCATGCAGGTGAAAAGGGTGGGCTCCATCGTCGAAGTTTTGGATCAAGAGGGTGATTGTTGATGTGGGAGAGGTGGTTTGATAGGTTAGTTGCTTCTCCCGGGATACCAAGGGTGAAAAGCCATCGTGGAGTGTTTCTGTGCTGTTGGTGGTAGTGGAGGAGTAAGAGGAGAGTAGGGTTTGAAGAAGTGGCGCGGTGTTGTTTATGCGGAAGGAACTGTCGTTTAGGTAGCCTCGGGTGAGGCGCCACTCGCGGGTTTGGAATGAGGAGCGGAGGTAGAGCGTGTGGTCTGGGTCGATGGGGGGTGCTGCGATGGGGATGGTGGGGACGAGGAGGGAGGTGTTTAGATCGCGGCATTCGACGTCGATTATTTCCGGCCATTCTTTGCTTTCTGGTGCTGGAATTTGTTGGTCGCCTGTGTTGAGAGGGGGAGAGTAAGATAGTACGGCTCGGACTTCCTCTTGCAACTCGGGTTCTTCGTATGCGAAGCAGTGCGTAACCATTCTCGCTCTGATCCAATACGCTCCTTTTTTCCCCAGCTCTTGCTTCGGTGGATTGAGAATGATGCTATATCGTTGTGCAGGACTAATGTTCAGACGATGAATGCCCATCGGTACAACATCCGTGCCATCGACTTCTGTAACAAACACCTCATGCTCATCAATCTGCAGCGCGAACTCTGCGAATGCACCAACGTTGATAACGCGAAGTCTTGTCCTGGCCTCTGGAGAAACATTAAACACCGCATTACGCCGATCCGTAGCATCGCATTCTCTCCCCGGTAAGTCATCGCACTTGCGTGTTCCCCGCCCATTGATAAGTGCAGCCTGCGGAACAGGCTCGTCGTTTTCGTTTCCAGGTGCCAAATATTGCTGCAGTAAAACCGAAGAACTATCGTAATAATGATCTGAAAGCATGACCACGCGGTCATGGGTATACGCCATCTTTTGCAATGACTCCCCCTCGTTTCGCCCGTGGATTATCAGCGGGCCAACCAGTCCATCCGACGCTTGCATGCTGGCGTGCGAGTGATACCAATATGTCCCTGATTGACCTGAGACACGGAATCGATAAGTGAATGAATGGCCAGGCGCAATAGGACATTGTGTCACGCCTACGGTGCCGTCCATCCAGTTTGTCCCGTTTTGATACAGGCCATGCCAGTGGATGGATGTTGCGTTACTGGCATGATTATGAATATGTACGACGATTTCGTCGCCTTCATTGCATTCAATCAAGGGCCCGGGGAAGGTGGCGTTGATGAGTGTCATGGGGCGGTAGACACCGTCCGGGTTGAGTATGTGGTCTGAGATTATCCATGTGTGTTCGCGTGTTGTAGGTGGTGCGTTGAAGTTCCATCTTGGAGAGAGGATGTAGTCTTCTTCTGGCCGGATACTTGTTGTGTTGGAGGCCGTGAGTGATGTCTGAGGCGAGGGTTTGCTTATCAGAACTTTGTGTGTGAGGACAAGGAGTGTGCATGTTAGGAGAATGACAACGAAAATGGATTTGATCCAATGCCGTCGCCTGTCATATTGCGTATTTCTGGTCCCTTTACCCCAGCCTTGCCCTTGCTCTTCTTCTGGGAAATCATCGTAGTTCATATCATCGTATTTAGAGTCGTGTAACAGGCCAATCTGCTCCTGCATCTCCCGCGGAGCCGTGTCGGACATGTCCTTCATGTGGAAACTCTGGCCGTAACCCATGGTGAGTATCTTGCCAACTCTTCCTCTCCAGTATCTCGGATATGGAAAGGTCCTGTTAACGTGTAATGCAAAAACGTCTAGCGTTGCTAAGTCGAGTCGAAGCAAACCAATAACCAAGGCTCAGTTCATCATATTTCCCATGGTCCCTAGAATCAGAAAAACGAAAATCCATGACTTCCCTCGCCACCGTACGAAATGCACAGGGATCCCCACTCACATGTCGTTCAAGGCCCCTGACCAACTTTCGTGCGCATGTCATGTTCTATCTTTTGTGTGCGTCCTCCAATACCCGCCAACTCCTCTAGTCCAATCAGCCCTGCACGTTCAAATGCGGGATCCACACAAAGCTTGTCGACCTTCCTAAAAAGCTTGGCCTTGTGTACGCATGCGAACCGCTTATTCTAACCGTATGCCACGGGCGAATTATCAACATGTTTATTGGCTCTGGTGATATTAGCACTACTGCAGGAAATATCCCAGTGCGAGCCGATTGATGCCGTGTGACCAGAAAGATGGAAGAAAAAGACAGGCGGCGTCCGAACTTTCTTGAGATGTTTGTTGGGATCCGAGGTTACTCTCGGTGGTATTTTTGAGTAAGTATAGGGGTCCATGAATATGAAGTAGTAAACCAAACCCTGACATACTTGACAGATCTACATTGTCACCATGAGAACTCCGTTCATCCTCTCGCTGGCCCTTTTGGCGAACTTGAGCCCCGTCTCCGCCCAGACAACGGTCAAAGGCAAGGCATTCGACCGCATCGCTATAATATGGCTTGAAAACACAGACTACGATCTCGCAGCCGGCGACCCAAGCCTAGCATGGCTCGCGAAAAAGGGCATCAGTCTGACGAACTACTTCGCCGTCACACATCCCTCCATGCCCAACTACGCAGCCGCGATATCTGGTGACTACTACGGCATCAACCACGACAACATGGTCGCCATTCCTTCCAACGTCTCCACGCTGGTTGATTTACTGGAGGCCAAAGGAATCAGTTGGGGCGAGTACCAGGAAGACATGCCATCTGTTGGCTTTCAAGGAAAATCATATCCAAACCCTAAAACTGGAGCAAATATGTATGTACGGAAACACAACCCAGCTGTGTTATACGATTCAGTAGCGCAAAACACGGACCGGCTAGCCAAGATAAAGCCATTGACGATGTTCAAATCGGACCTGGAAAGCAACAAATTACCACAGTGGATGTTTATCACTCCTAACATGACCAGCGACGGTGAGTCCGCCGCAAGACCATGCTTTCAGCGCTCTTGAATAGCTATACTGACAAAAATTCCCAGGCCACGACTCCACCGTCACAGTCGCCGGAACCTGGACCCGAAAATTCCTCGAACCCCTACTAACCGACAAAACCTTCATGAACAACACCCTCGTCCTCGTCACATTCGACGAAAACCACACCTACGGCAAGCAGAACCGCGTCGTGGGCATCTTGCTCGGAGACGCCGTGCCCGCCAGCCTCGTCGGCACAACCGACAACACGTATTACAACCACTACAGCGAGATTTCCACCGTGCAGGCAAACTGGGATCTCGACACCCTGGGCCGCTGGGACGTAGGCGCAAATGTATTCAAGTTTGTAGCTGCGAAGACGGGGGATGCGGTGCGAGCGTGGTCTGGAAAGGTACCGCTGAGTAACATGTATTTCAATGCTTCGTATGCGGGCAAGCTGAACAACAAGAATACGTCTGTGCCGTGGCCGGTGCCGAATACGGAGGCGGTGTATGCGGGGAGGAGTGTGTTGCCGGCGATTGCTGATGTGTGGGGGAAGCAGGTTGATCGGTCTGCGTATACAACTGCGCTGGAGATTCCAGATGGCATGCATCCTGAGGCCGAGTTTAAATAGTGGGATATTCGAGTTTATATATACAGAGATTGATGATCGGTAGTGTTTTTCCACCATACACCCAATATATTATACTGCCCATTGCCTGCGAGCCGCAGCTTTGGTTTCCTCTTTACTCTTCACGTTCCTCCGCAGCACAGCACCCACGATCTGTATCCTACACACATCTGCATACGCGCCCTTTCCAATCTCCTCAGGCCACATATCCGGATGCAAAATCGTATACTCGGCAAGTTCCCCATCTCCTACTTGTTTCAGCTTTTCCAGGAAAGCGTCGTGTCCAGGGTCGGCGGTCGGTATCGCGACGCCGGTATATACAACGATGATTCCGTTCGAACTCAAAAGTTTGATACCTTCCTCCACAATACGAATCGAGATGTCTAGACCAAACCCCGCGCCACCATCTGCATATATAGGCAAGTCCTTGCCATCGACGCTAGAAGCGATGTACGGCGGATTACTCACAATGAGATCAACACCTCTTCCCTTTATCTCCTCGGGCAAAGCAGCATAGAGATTTGACTCGGAGAAATCAACCTGCACTCCTGCCAGTTGCGCATTGACACTGCCCAAGCTGAGTGCTTGAGGATTCAGATCCAGACCCAACACCTTGGCCTGCGGGTACGTTCGTGCCATGTGGATCGCCCCGGCGCCAGATCCGCAGCATACATCGATGACCGAGCTTGGCGCTTGCGGGAGATGCCGCGGTACGGTCTGCAGGAACGAGATAAAGAGATATGTATCCGGGCCGAAGAATACGGAATCTGAGGAGGCGGGGAAAGAAGAGTGGATGTAGTAGAGCGAGGTAGTGTCCGAGTCGTGGTTTAGGGGGTCAGGTAGGTAGAAGTTTGACACGCGGATGGTGGAGCGGTAGGTTTTGTTGTTGTTGTCAACAATGGCTGAGGCTTTGCATAGTTGCTCGAAAATTGCATCGGGTATTATGTTTTTCAGTGTTTCTCTGAGAGTACATTAGTCTCGGTTTAAATGGGATTCTTCAAAGTGCATGACGGAATTTACCTTGTGCATGATAAATTCCACCCAAAGAAATCTGATGCAGTCTGCGCATCTTCTGTCGAGACATTCGAGCGTCTTTTTTGGACTACTCTGCCTTGAGTTTCTGGCGAGGGACATACAAAGACGTAGTTTGATTTCGCCAAGTGCTGGGTGAGTCCCTGGAAAGCGGTCGATTCCGTCATGACCGCTAGAATAATGCAATTATTGTTCCGTGGAGGAATTTACAACACAACGTGGGCAGAGACGCGGCCGTTTTGTCTAGACCGAAGCGCGTGGTTAAAATCAATGGTATGCAGACAGGCGCACTACGCCGCGGAGCGTAGGACGAGTCAATGTGACGTCGAGTTTCTATATTAGACTGCAATGACGAGGTTTACTTTTATCCTGCTCGCGTCTTGGCCTACGACAACGGAAAATCATTCTCGGAAACGTGATGCCGTACAGAGTGAATGCGAATGGGAGGAATGCAAAGAGCCTCTGCTTTTTTTGAGTGATGATCGCGCTAAATCAGTATATAGATGCTAGTACGTGCAAAACGGACAACGTTGGTGGCAGAAATAGACATTTTGTGCATTGCGGGGTGCGTGCTGGCTAACCTCATGTCGTCTAGCTTACGATCGTATGGGTCCGTGATGGTATTGACAGAGCGGGTACCAGCTGAATTGTACACCGTCACCGTTGGCAGCATGATTTGCGCGGCGCATCTACCCGCAGATGGATCCTCCGCCACATCTGGGCCGACTATGGAAAATAAATGTATAACATTCCCCGATGGCCAGCTTGAGGGTTCAGTTGTACCTGTAGACATTACAAACCACAACACTGCCGCGCCACAATGTATATTCTTCAAACAACTACGGCCGTTCTGATTGCATTCCTCGCGATTCTTGCATACAATGAAGTTCGGAATCGTCTAGCGAGAACCTGGCCTAGGAGAAAAGACTTGGAAACACCACACAGTCCTACCAGACCTATTACCAGCGACATCAAGCCATTCATTCCGGATCCCAGTTTGAACAAGTCTCTGGATTCCGTTGAACCTGATGTCATCGACGAAGATTTAGCGAGATTCAAGCAGCTCTACTACAAGCTACACAACCTGGAGTACCATCCTGAAATCATACCCGAGTGTCGCGGACTGCTTTTAGAACTACTCTCGTCGACGATTGCCGACGCAATCAAGGAACCGGACAACACCATTCTATCTGTCGAGCGCTTTTCACCCGATACTTTGAAAGACTTTCTCGCAGCAAAAGATGCCGATGTCACTAACCGATGGGAGGAGTACCTGGCTCGGCGGCGAGGTGGAGAACCGCGTGAAATGTTCGGAGACAAAGAGGAGGCGAAATGGTGGCTAAAGCAAGCTGCCCCTGTCAAGTATGTTGATGGCGCTTGGCTCGGACACATCAATAAGATGAGCACGCCATTCAAGTACCGTCAGATCACCAAGAACGCTTGGCAGGTTATGTCAGAAGAACTAGGAGACGGGGATATTGCAAAGAACCATGTCCATGTCTACCGGGAGTTGATGGAAGACATTGATGCCAGGTTACCTGAGGCCGATTCGCAAGATTTCATTCATCCCCGTCATAGATTGAACGAAGTGCGGTGTTGGAAGGCCGCCATGGCCCAACTTACGATATCTCTGTTCCCACATGACTTCCTGCCCGAGGTCCTGGGATTTAACCTGGCGTACGAGAGTCTGCCTCTCCATTTACTGAAGACCGTCAAGGAACTCCGTGAACTGCGCCTGAATCCGTATTATTTCGAACTTCACATATCCATTGATAATGCAGATTCAGGCCATGCTGCCATGGCCCTGGATGCAGTGTTAAACTATATGAAATTAGTAGCAGATGAACAAGGCGAAGAAGCAGCTCATGTTGCTTGGAAACGTGTACAAGCTGGTTACATTCTCGCCGAGGGCTTACCTACGACACCCGAGAGCCCGTCACTCAAATCAAAAGTCGAGGATCCGTTTCCCCGTACCGACACGGAAGCCCAAGTAGTAGCCATCTTTACAGCCAAAAGCTCCGTCGCCCACAAAATCCACTGTAACAGTCGTCTCAAAATCGGTAGACGCTCCCTCGTAGATTGGCTAGAGCCAAACGCCTTCAAAGACCCAACATGGCAGCGAGACTTCCTCCACGACCTCAGCAACTGCAAACCCTGGGTAGTCAAAGGCCACAGCGCCCAAAGCCGGCTGATCAAAGAACTCTCGTGGGAAGGTAAAATGTTCGGCAGCTTCACCGAAAACGAAGTGGGCATCGTCACCGCCTGGATCAACGAGCTTGCTTCCCCACCAGCCGCACTCGCAGCTTCGGACCTCCTCGATGCAGGAAAACAAGCCTACTACTGGGACTTTACCGGTCAAATCTCCGAACCCGATGATGATAACAATGTCGACGACGGCTTGCGTGCAGAGCGCTTGGACATTCTTACCCACTACCCGGTTTTTCGCCCGCAGCAGCATCTCACGGGGCGCCTGTCGAGCGATCTTGCGATCGACTGCGTGCCGAAGTTGGACTTTTGTAAATTGCATCTAGGCAGTCTGCTCCCGCTGTGGTTCGCGGCGCCGGCGCTGCTCGAGGGCCTGCCGGCCGTGCCTGTCCGCGCGGCGAGCACGTTTGGATCTGCTGCTGTTCGTATTCTGCGGTCTCAAGCTGGCTTCAGCGCCGAAGGCGCGGGTGTAGCAGGCATGGACGAAGTCCACCGAACTGATGATGGCGAGGCGGTTGGCATCGTGGAACTTGGCCTAGAGTTGTGTCGTAATGCAGGCTACCAGCAGCCGTGTAATTTGCGCGAGGCAGTGTCGCTGGGCGAGCCCGAGTCAGCTGCTTTTGCGGAATGGATGGTTGCGACGAGTATGCGGTGGCTAGTGCACCGGGATGCCCTTGTTGGTATGGCTTGGGCGTTTATGGAACTGCACGAGGCCTGGACCCAGTGCAAAGGGGCGGTCCCGTTGTTATCTGCCAAGAGCATGGCCATCTTGCAGGAGATTGCGATTAGAGAGAGGAAGAATCTAGAAGTGTGCAGGAGCGAGATATACCAGCATAAGCAGCGTTGGGCGGATTTTCTCCAAGGAGTTGCAATAGGCAGGCAAGCCATCGAGTCATGTTTCACAAGAAGTCACTCAAAAGGTAAGATAGATGGATTTTCAAAGATAGGTTGAAGAATCAATTGATGCCTCGCGCAATGCCAAAGAGCCAAAGCCAGTGGCCCAAAATAATATATATACGAATTCCACCACAAACTGAGCTATATACAATCTCCCACACAAAAATTCATTTACAATGAAGGTACCTCGCCAGGAGCCGAGCAAAGAACGCTCTACTTCTTGAGGGTAAGGACACCGGGCCTGTAGGGGAGACGGTCGTAGTCGCCGCCAGAGTTGGGGGCACGGCCCTGGTACAACAGCTGCAGGTTGCAAGGGTCGACGGTCATGGTCTCGTCGTTGGTGACCTTGACAAGATCTCCGTGGGAGATGTCGTTGGTCCAGGTGGCACCACTGTTGGCCTTGCCGGCGAAGGGGTTGCTCTCGGTGGCAGCGTTGGGGGTCCAGCTACCGCTGAGGCTGGAGGCAGTGAAAGAGCGGAAGTAACGGCCGCCAGAGCCAACAGCCTCAACGATCATGAGGTAACCGCCACCCTTGACGGTGTAGACCTGAACAGCCTCGAAGAGGTTGTTGGTGCTGTCGCTCATGATGACGGTGGAAGCAGTGCCGAAGCTGCCAGGGAAGTTGGCCTTGGGCATGCTGCTACGGTAGATCTTGCCGTTGTCACCGGCGAAGAAGAGGTACATGTTGTTGGCGTCACCAATGACAGTCTGATCAATAGCACCAGTGCTGCTGCCGGAGATCTTGCCAGAGAAGAGAGTCTGGACACCACCCCAGCTGTTGGGGTTGGTGGGGTCGCTGGAGGTCCTGTAGGAGAAGGTGGTAGGTCCCCACTGGTAGGCCAAGACCCAGATGTTCTTGGGAGCGAAACGGAAGAGGGTAGGGGCAACAGCAGTGAAGGAGGTGCCGGTCTGGGAAGCAGAGGCCATCTCGCTGAAGCTACCGAAGGGGCTGAAAGCCATGGATCCGTACTTGGATCCAGTGTCGTGGTTGGTAGCATAGACAATGTGCTTGCCGTTAAGGCTGGAGATGGTGAAATCCTTCAAGTTGGCCCATCCAGACTTGGGCTGGGCAAGAGCGCCGGAGGAGGTCCACTTGTAAGAGGTGGGAAGCTTGCAGCTCTGGGCCGAAGCAGTGGAAGCCAGAAGGGCGACGGCAGCAGCCGAGAAGCTAAGGTCGGGAACGAAACGCATGTTTGGTTTTTTGGGGTGTTTGGTAGTTGGTTGGTTGAATGAGTGAATGTGATGCTGGTGAGCTGGATGACTATTAGAACGAGGGCATGTATAAGATACTTATACCTGGAGCGATGCTGTCGGGCCTACGAATCAGAAGGCATGCCGTGTATCACGCCTTGCCCACGTACCGCTTGAGGGTTGGCCGATTCAGGACTGGGCTCGGGAACCTAGATCTCCTGAGCGTGGAAATTGATCATCCACATCATGCGTCTACTCTCGGTATGGCATATTGTTCCGTTGTTGTGGGTATATTAAATTACATGATGTTTCAAGGGAATTGACGCGACTGCACGGACGGCAATTCTCCGTAATGCGGGGAACGCACGGCAAAGGGCACGTAGGACTGCAGAAACAAGTGAGGCTGGGCAATTCCTTAATCTACTACTATATGCATGCTTAAATCCTAATGCAGGTATGTGCTGCACCCCATTCGCCTAACCCGCTAGCTTGGCGACTATGTTTTGACGTCGACGTCAATTCGTCTGATGTATGACCGGCCGACTACGTACCAACACTGTGCCAACAAGCAGCCCTGTTGGCGTCTCTTGCGCCGAACAAAGAAACATGGCCTGCTGCGCTGATTGCCAGGCCCCAATCTCGGCGGTATTGCTCCAAAAAGTCCCACCGGGTGTTTACCAGAATCCGCGAGTGTTCCTATCCGATGCTAGTCTCTCCACTAGAGCGAAACGTCAACACGCGATGAAACACCCGGTGGCCGGAATCTAGAAGCATGGGTGCCAGTGGCGCAAAAGTGCCACCAGTCGAAGGGCTGCCTCCGCTGCGCCCACAAGTCAAGACTTGGACTTAGCGGGTTTGAGGTTTGGCATTGCTTGATTGATGCCGCATGGACAGCTAGGGCGCGAGAAATTGTCCCTACACCGACGTCAACTGTGCTCTGCGCCTTAATCACGCAAAACTGCAAAACCACAATTATCGTGCTACAGCAGGGAGCCGCTGTAAGGAGCCGCAGCCCAGCCAACGGGTCCGAACGCGAGCCGCCCAAAGGACGCGCATCTACAGTTATGAAAACTATAACTGACGCAACACTCTCCGGCCATAAGCAAGGGCACTTTTTTGCCACTAAGCACTCTCAACTCCACTAAACAACATTCACTGTCAGTGGCCAGCAAACACGTGGGAGGAGGGTCAGCTTCTAGATCGACTCGCGGAATTTGTTCGGCCGCACAGATTAAAGAGTAGCGGTAACCACAGCGCTTGGATTGTACGCAGTACTTAGCCTTGCCAAGGCGGTTGTGAGCGTTGCCAATGTAACTCGGCCCACCTACCAAGCCCATGTCTAGAGTAAGGAGCATGCTGGACAAAAGATGCTCAAAAAATGCTACTTTGCACACCGGCTTTCGTCTCCCAAGGAGCAAATTGCTTACCACCCAACCAACATTAAACAGTACGTAAAAAAGTAACTTTTGCCGATTGCGCCCCTGGTTCAAAAAAAAGAGCCCATATCAATCTCTGAACAATCCATCAAATATTCAACCTTTGAACCTTTTTTCCCACACCGCTTGGCACATCTCCACTATTACACCGATAGAACACTACTTACAAATCTTCCGGAGTTCGCCCGCCAATGCCCGTTCCTGCGAGGTTGGGTGGGTGGAGTGGTGCAGGTGGATTCTCCTCTATCCGGGGTTTTTCTCCACGTCGGCTTTTGAACATCGCAAAGCTAGTGTAAAGTAGGTGTGGTGCTGGGCGCCCAGAATACGGAGTGGGACCGCCATTCCCCCCGAACACTAAGAGAGCAGCTCCTAAGAGATAAAGAATGGAAATCCTACGTGGCGGTACGGTTCCCCCATGGGGGCAATGTCGTGATAGGCTTAGATGCATGCACTCCTGATTCCTTCTAGCTGCGTGATGATGCTAGATTCCCGGCATATGCGCTATCTGCGCTGTACATAATTGAGTGATTACTTCCGACTGGAGGATTAAGTTCGTTCCAGTTAGTTATTGGTTCATTTTACCTGCCAGCCGCTTATGCACTATCCGAATTGCCATCCTTTTTTCTCCATAGCTTTTTCCATAGCTTTTCCCCATTACAGATTAATCCGGCTAAGACGGACTAAGACAACATCCGAGGTTCAATTGAAAACAAACTTGGACCAAGCAAGTTCTAGTTTCGATCGTTGTGACAAATGTTTCTGTTCTTGACTCGAGCCGCCTCGTCACCTACGTTAAACAAAACATCGCTAACAGTGTAGCATCTCTACTCACCCGCTACAAGACTAGCCTTGGAAATATTTAGACTAGCCTATTAATAGGCGTTTTATACGTGCTAGTTGTACATAATAGTGCGTGCATCATAAGAACGCCAAACAACTTGGTTGTGCGCCACAAACGCCATTCTAGAATACGCAACGCCAAGACCCCCCCAGTGACATGCTGCGCACGTGACATCAACTCACGTGTCCCCAAAAAACATCTGTGACAGCTGATGTTACAAACAAGACTGACAGCCGATTGAAACAAGTCAGCAAGTACCGAGGACTCTATTTGTGGCTTACGCTGATTGTGTCCTGACGTTTTGTCGTTGTTCTGTAACGACCTGTAACGTGTAGCTTACATTTAGACTTTTATGTTATCCCGCGATCGGCCAAAGTTTAAATGATACCGGCGGGCTGTCACCCAGACCAACTCCCGAGCTTTGTTTTCGCGTAGGGTTACTCGGGACGATTTACGAGGTCCCTGGTGTAAGTTACTTACGTTTGTGGCCTGGGGTTTACAAGCTGTCATATAGACATGGTATTGCCAATTATAGTCGGGAAGAATTCTGATTCATTGTAGCGGTGGATATGCCTGTTTCGGTAATTTATATATTACTCACTGTACAGTGGTGGTGTGACTTTCTTCATTTGCAACCTTCTGTTAAGTAGGCATCCACAAAGCGCACTGATATTGCAGAATAAGCTCTACCAAGCAAGGTGCGCAAGGGCAAACACTACGTTCCTGCATCATGACCCCGGTGCACTTGGACCTTTTTTTATAACTACTTCAAATCAAAAGAATTGCCGCTGAGGGTCTAGCAAATGCACATGCAAGTATGATGACTGGAATCCCTTGCTGAAAAATGCATGTCGTAATCGAAAAGACCTAGCATCACCCTTGATCTTAATGTTCCGAAAAAAATCCAAGATGAGAGCACTCAGTATAATGAGTTTTGCCACCCCTATCGGTCAGACTGATCTTTCGTTGGTGGAAAAACCTCACCGAACTTCATGGGTGTCCGCAAGCTAGAAGTAATGCCTAGGATATAATCAATCAGATATCTGAAACACAGTGAGCATGTGCACATACTCATGATTGTATGTTCCCCTATATCCCAGTGCCTGTCGCACCACCAACGAGGATAGTAACTTTTGCGTGTCCAATATACACGGTTTCCAGTCGCTTGTGGTCGATCTTGGTCTTGCAAGTTTCTGCCTAATCATAGGTAAACACCATCATCACCCTCATCTTGCGCTGTGGTGCCGTTGGTGCCCTCTTGCCTCGTCGCGCCGTTCGTCGCAGCAGGTGCACTTCCATTCGTTTTTCCATCTTCTTCCTTTGGCTTCCATGGCAGACCTCGCACATCCTGTACCTCGTGCTTGATGGCTTCTTTCCTCTCTTCGAACCTCTTCATAACCTGCTTGTTTTCCAGAAGGGCCTCGTAGCAGTCCTTGTCGTCATGTTCGCGCGCAAACTCCTCAAGTTGCTGGTTGCTTGATTCGAGATGCTTGAGTTGATTTGTGAGTTCCGAGTATTTTGCGTAGAGCGATTCAACAGAAAGGTCTTCTAGCGCTTTGGAGAACCGTGTGAAGGAGATGGGAGCAGCGTCGGCAGACATGGTTGATGTGAATACAGAAAACTGGCCTGGAGTTGCAGATGTGCTTCTAGGTTTGAGTATCGTTGTAGAAGTGACGAGCGGTCCGTAGCTCTTTGTGCGAGAGGTTTTCAGTGAGAAGATGCGGTGGTGGCGGAAGTCCAGAGGTAAAGCTGTTCTTGCCCGAAAGTTGTGGTGGGGTAGCTGACGCCATAACGATTGACCCCACTTCACTCACAATTGCTGCAGTGAAGAGTGATTACCAGACAAGCTGTAGAGACCACGTCTGTTTGTGTTTGATAGTTGATGGATATGGGTGATTCAGTGAATTTTGTACTGCGTATATAAATTAAAACATTTTGTTTATCTGTAAATCATGGCACTTTGGCGGAGTGGTTAACGCGCTGGCCTGCTAGTCCCATTCGGGAAAGTCAGCCAGTTCCTTCGGGAGCGTGTGTTCGAATCACACAGGTGTCGCACCAACCACGCATTTCTTTTTTGATTTTTGTCAAGCACTCTTCATGATCATCCTACGGCTGTTCTTTGAATTTTTTGCTCCTTGTATGAAACTTTTGCTCTCATAATTGGTATCTTGGTTTGTGAGACAATTTTCGCAAAATTTGGTATTCATTCTAAATGCTGATAATATCAACTATTATAATGAGTGAAAAACAAACGTAAGGACATGGTGGGCGTACAGGACTTTCCACGTTGACGAGATCAGCTGCTTACAAATTAATCATTGTAAGCGTATTATAATTTTCGTCATACCTGAATTCCATATATAATATTTTCGAACTAGACAATTCGGCTTCATGGTGAATAAATCCAAATTAACAGAAAGGCGTTACACATATAACCACAGATCAGTAGAACAACATCACGAGTGAAGTTATCTTACAGTTTAATAATACACGGTACTCAATTGATATTCTCTGGTACTGTCTCCATTACCTACCTGGGTTCATACCAGGCATAAGATCCGGCTTATCAAGCACCATACCCCTAAGCAGAATCCACTGTCTCAGACCCTCCCATTCCTCGCCCTCCTCATCACCTCGTCTCCACTCCTCCTTGAACCCCCATGCACACGCAATGCGATCCAACGCCGCACGCTCATCCTCTCTCAGATAACGATCCAGGAGCGGAACACCAGGACGCCAGACAACACGGTCGTGATGGTCGTTGTATGTAGTCAAGGCAACAAAGCCAAGGGTACCGGTGCACATAACGTAAGTACTCAGACCAGCGAAAGCGTAGAGTTTAAAAGTCCACGGGTCGATGAAACCGCTGTATACAGAAAGTTCCTGCGCAATCATGTAGAGAGCGAGGGGTGTGATGCCCGCTAGAACTCCCGGAAGACCCAATTTGGTGACCATGCGGTGGCGCCGCCAGGCAGGGGCGCGGTAGGTGTGGTCGACGACATCCAAGGCTAAGGCAAGGTCCTTTGCGTCGATTGCGGCCGTGAGCGCTTCGTCGGCGAGATCGGCGGGAATGGCTTGCTTTGCGGCTTTGGGGGAGGAACGGGAGAATTTGGGGGGCGAAGAGCCTTCGACTGGGATAGGCTTGTTTGCGTAGAGGTAGAGTGCTTCTGGGATGGTTTTTGGGCGGGCGAGAAGTCGCTGGAGATGGATGTATAAGGCGAGGACATTGGGAGAGAGGAAGACTTTCTCGTGCTTGATTAGGTCTTCGGCGAGTTTGGAGAGGTAGGATGGCGACGGGAGTGCATCGAGGCCTAGCTGCTGTGACCTTATTTTCTTTTCAGTCTTTTCCCCCTCATCGTTGCCGAGTCCGGACAGTATTGCTCCCGCTGAACTTTGTCTTATGGGTCCTTTTGTTCGCAAGGGCTGTCGGGACCGTATCGCTATCGCATTTTGCGCAATCTCCGTTAAACCTTCAAGTACCTCCAAGACCTTTGCCTCTGGCTCCACCTTGGGGGAATCGTAGATTTCTTTTATTCGAGCCTCCACCGCGGCCAAATTTGTTCTCAGCGTTGCGATGCGCTCCGACGTCTGGAAGCTTTCGTCATCGCCTCTTTCAGCTGCTGGTGCCGCGTTCCGGGCCGTCGTCGTAATGCTTCGTACGTGTGCCCGGTTGACTAGAGAAGATGATGGCGCAGTTTGCCGCCGTGTCGCGGGGGCCTTGACGGCTGATGTGAAGCGGAACGCGCGGCGACTTCCAGGCTGCCGCAGTATGTAGTCGCACAATTGACATACTGGGCGCGATTGGGGGCGCATTGGTAATTTTCCAGGGTTCATCGGGTGTGGTCGAGGCCACAGCGGGCGCGGTGAAGGTCGGGTGACGCAGCGGTGGGCGGCCGAGGATTGGGATGCCAGCTGCCAAGCTGTGACGGAATGTTCCCACCACAACCATCACTCGATCACCACACTCTGTCACACGTCGACACTCGCAACCAGGTAGCGAGTGACTGCACATATATCCAGAATCTTTGCAAAACAGCATAAAACAGCAAAACCAAATCGAAGCGCGGCACATATCCCACCATGCCACCACCACCCCCTCCGCCTCCGCCCATGCCGCCCATGGGTCGAGGAGCTGGAGGGCCACCGCCGCCACCGCCTATGCCGGGGATGAAGGCGCCGGGAGGGAAACCGCCGTCAGGAGCAGGAAGAGTACGTTGCATTCATGGCGGGGGCAGGCCAGACACCGCGCCTCTGGCTGTTGGGCATCAAGAGAGCTATCGCTAATGGGACACAGGGTGCACTTTTAGGAGACATCAGCAAGGGCATGAAGCTGAAGAAAGTCACACAAGTCAACGATCGGTCGGCGCCAATAGTAGGCAAAGTGAGCGGTGGGGCGAGTGCAGCGCCCATGGGAGCACCAGCAATTCCCGGTATGGGCAAGCCGCCCGCAGTCCCTGGGCTTGCGCCGCCAGTTCCTGGAGGAGGAAACCGCGCGAGAAGCAACAGTGATACTGACAGCGGTGCCGGACTGGCCGCACCACCACAGCTGGGAGGGTTGTTCGCGGGCGGCATGCCAAAGCTGAGGAAGTCGGGCGGTGTCAAGACTGGCGCGGACCAAGACCATGCGCCATACCTCTCAGATCCCGAATCAAATCGCGCTTCAGCACCCGCACTACCACGAGGAGCAGCACCAAAGCCTCCAGGAGCGCCCCCCTCAGCTCCTCCTGCGCCGCCAGGTGTACGGCCAGGTATCAACGCTCTTCGTGGAGAGTCGCGGCCGTCTTCAGTAACCAGTATCAGTGGAAAGCCCAAGCCACCACCGCCAATTGGAAAGAAACCACCTATCCCACCTCCCTCGTCTCGAAAGCCATCTAATCTTGCTCCTCCACCGCCAGCTCCATCCCCAGTTCGCGCACCGCCCGTGCCAGGAAGCGCCCCTCCTCCACCGCCTCCAGTTTCCACACCTTCCGCACCACCTCCACCACCGCCGCCTCCTGCATCAACGTCGCCACGACCCACTGGACTTCCTCCAGCGCCCCCTCCTCTACCTCCTTCGCCAGCGCCACGAGCACCAGCACGGTCGACACCGCCCCCACCGCCTCCACCGGATGACGATGAGTACGACCCGTATAAATACAACTCTCACGCACCCTCGGCACCTGCACCACCACCACCGCCTCCAAATGGTCATACACCATCACTCGCAGAAATAGCAGCCCGAAATAATGCATTTGGTCACTCAACACCCGCCGCTCCGCCGCCACCGCCTCCAGCCTCACCACCAAGCGCCCCAGCGCCTCCCCCGCCCGCCGTTGCGCCCCCAAGCCGATCATCCACCCCCTCGCGCTCCATGATAGACCCAGCCTCTTACACGTTAACAAACGGCGGTGGATCGAGCACCAAGAGCCACAGCAGTTCTGGCGGTGGCCAAAAAGGAAGAGTCCGACCCATCCACGACTTGCGCTGGCGATTCCAGGACGAAGGCCAGTTTCCCCGCCCCCGCGAATTCACGGGTAGCACGAAGAAATATCGGGCTGGAAGGGGGAGCAGTGTTCCTTTGGATCTTAGCGCTTATGAGTGAAGAACGACTCTTGGTTTTTGCTTGGGTAAAAAAAGATTTCAAATGAAAAGTCTGGAGCAAAAAGCTTTGGGGGAGTGCGGAGGGATTCTTCTTGGGTCTTCTTTTCGAAACTTTTTTTTATTTGGGATAGCTGACTAGCTTTCATGGCGGGGTAAAGGGGCGTGGGGGAAAGGGGGGGCTGGGGAATACATTGTTGACGTTTAGCCTTGGCGTTTAGGGCGCTTTAGTGGCTGGTTCTTTTTTTTCCCATCGTTTTTCTTTTTCTAGGGTGTTGGGTTCGCGGAGGGAGCAGGGGAAGAAGTGATTGTATTGCATTTTGGTAGATGGGATGGATTGTTTGTGTGTATGAGAGAGAAACGAAAATAAAAATTGTGTCATTGTCATGCGTGGATGTGTATTTTGTCTTTCTTCCCCCTCTATCTCTTGTGAGTGATGAGAAGGAAAGGAGATGTCATGTGCATTGTAGAATTGGGGCGTTGGGATGCGCTTGTGATGTGTTTGGGCGAGATTAGTGTCATTTGCTTAGAAGAAGAGACACGCATTTGACCATTAAACATTAATTGATCTTTAGAAGTAAGCATCTCTATCAAACGAGACATGATATCTGCCTCATTCTCTCCTGACCACTGGCAAATCTCTCAGCCTGGAACCCAAACCAATCTTCACAAGTACCATCTTCAAAGCCCTACACAATTCATCCCCAATCCCTCACGCCAACCAGCTCTCGTATCCAGCATCTCAATACTTGATCCTATCGAAATCACCTTGATCCAAAGCAACACCGCTCAAAACCTTGCCCATATGCGTCTTCTCGACACCCTCGCCCTCACGGCGAATCTTCATGAGCAAACCACTTAAAAAGGGTACAGGCGACTTTGTGAGACCCCATTTCCCAGTCGGAGGATCAATGAAACCATCAGCATACACCTGCTGACCTTCTTCCGCCCTGCCTTGTAGGAGACCCAGGAAATCGCAGAGCTCGTTGTATTCGGCCAGAGAGCGGAGGTAGAGACTGCCGGCGAATAGGTTGAGCTGAGTGGTCAAGCTTCGTGAGACAGAGCCTGGGGTGAAGGACCGACCGATGTTGTACAGGGTGAGCCCGTCGAGAGATGCATAACTGACGTTGGCGCGGGCGGCGAACAAATGGAGCGTGACTTTCTTGTGCTCGCGGATCAATGGCAGTAGGTGATTCGCCTCATAGGGGCTGATAACGATGAGATTCCCGACATTTCTTGGGCGATGCGGGTCCGGTACAGAAAGTACAAATTGCACTGGTCGTTGGTAGGAGTCCGAGATGAAAGAGGCACGGGTCGAGCCTGAAGGTGGGCTGACTGTTTGCATGAAGTCTAGCGTTACCAACAAATCGCAGGGGAACTCTTTCAGATTAGTGAGTTTCCCTGCACTAGTCGTTTTCAGTGCTTGAAATGCTGGCTTCCATGCTTCGAAGTTCGTGACGAATTCACCGGTAGTAACTAGCTGCCTGAGATGTTTATGGACTTGATGCTTTAGGGCATCCAAACGTGGAGGGCGCTCGATCTGGCGTTCTTCTTCGATTTCGGGCGCAAGCTCCCGCTCTTGCTCTTCACTCAATGTAGCAGATCCAAAGTTCATGGCCTCAAAATTGTGGCACCGTGATACAATCCTATCGATGTTGGGATTAGACATGTCCCAGTTGCTGAGCTGTGTGAAGCGATTTGCGTCCTGAGTGCGAGGCTTGTACCGCGTTTCTAGATCAACGGCTTCATTCTCCAGAAAAGCTTTCGCGTCATCCTCCGTAGTGTTGGCGCCATTTATGAGGTTCTTGTGTCGCTCAAATCGTTCGCCTTGTACTGCCCACAAGGGGAGACTCCTCTTCAAGTCAGACCATGTCTCTCCGACTGCCCATGATAGTACGTCGCGAGCATCAATCTGGGTATCCGAAGATTTTCCAGTCCGCTCATAGATCTTGGTCCTGATTTCTGCGGGTACAATAAATGTAATAGCTTGTCCATGGCCCAGCTTCCTCATCCGCATTGCAGCTTGTGTAAGTCGGTCCTTGCTCAGTTGGCTACCCAATGTAAGTGCGGCGCGATAATTACGTGGGAGCTTCAAGTCTGTTCCACGTGTATGTGCCTCGTCTAGGTAGACCACGCATGAATCCAGCATCTTGGCGTAAGGCGATGTCTGGAATGAATCAACTCGAGAACTGCGATCGAGAACTGCCAACTCTTCATTCTCGAAGTAGACTACCGCCTGGACGTCGCTGTTGCGCATCTTCAGCCATGTCTCAGCAACCTGTCGATTATTTTGTTCAAGGATCGAGGCTCCACAATCCAACAAAACCCTGACATCTGAGTCCAAGTTCTTGATGAATGTCAGCAAATGCTCACCATCACTGGTAGCGCTACCGATTTTGCGCACAGGCAGGATTTCCACCGACGTCTCGTCCATTAACAGATATGAAAGCACCTGTGCATTGGTATGGTGTTGACTTGGTAGGTCAAGATGTTTGATGTTGAGTGGGAGTAGATGCAAGGTATCGTTTGTACCAGAAAATCCGGCCGTAGGGTGCGGCTTCTTGATCGCGAGGTCCCAGCCTGACGCACTAAGCTTCTGAGGGAATTGCTTGAGTTGTTTGGGAAAGACCAAACGCGCGAGGTAATAATCGATTGCGTTCTTCGAGTGTCTCAAGCTGGGAAACACTTCCGTAATGCACTGATGTCGATCTCGAATACTTATTCCGGCAAGTTGTCGAAATGCCTTTGGCAGGGTGGAAGATGCAGTGCGAACGAACCCATCATAGTATATAACTGATTGATCAGATCTCAAGATATGAATGATCGTGTCGAAGAGTTCGTTATCGGTCAAACCCTGATAGTAGTATGACAAGAGCGTGAGAATGATGACGACGTCGGGATGGGAGAATTCAGACCTCGGTGAAGGTGAGTCTTTGCTTCTATATGGTACCTGTTTTCACCAAGTCAGTGTATACTTTGCAAGATAACAATATGGAACTTGTACTTACCGCAAGTGAAGTGCTCGGCGTACGGGAATGATCTAGGCCAAAGTTGACGCGGTATCGCTTCATTGTAAATATGAATCGAAGAACACCATCAGCAAACAAGCCGCGTAGCAAGAGTAGAGGAGACTTTGTAGTTTCGGTCCAAAACTTGCTTTTCTCAACTGCATTAATTTCTTTGCGCTTCAAGTCCGTCTGAGTAATGTAGCGGATGATTGCGTCTTGCATGGTTGGTGGTTGCGACCTTGAAGGAATACCAATGCCTTGTTGGACAACATGCACTGCTAGCAGGTGCAAGGCCCGATCAGCAGAGTCGGAATGCAAGAATCTGATTCGCGGGAACTTGCTGTCACCATCGTCTTGAATGTCGACTGCATCAGGCAGCTCTTCCTTGACCCGGGCAGCCACAGATGCCAGAGGTGTTAGGACATCCTGAATGATGAACCATCGTGTGGGAGCAAACTCGATTGGCTGTTGTTCTCCCATGGTATATATCAATTCGAATTTCACAGAAAAGTTCTCGTCGCTCTCATCGACACAGTCGACTGAGACTCTGTCAAAGAACTCTTGGGTCGACAGTAGCGACCGGGCCGTTTCTTGCTGGTCGAGGAGGACGCATTCCACAGCCATGAGTTTGAAAGATAGAATATGCTCAGGTTGAATCAGAAGCACGCCGCGGTTTGCAATGCACTCGTCGTAGATCTGGCGGATGGTCTGAGCATCATTGGCGCTAAGTCGAAGGTTACGTGAGAAGGGCATCTGGTAGACCCTTCTGCCCAACATTCCTCCAAGCTTAGCTACAAGCATTTGTAGCATTTGCTTGCTCTGAGGCTTCGCAACTATTACCCTCACTAGCCTAGTAAATTATGTTAGCAAAATCTAGGTTGGTGGATAAGAGGACTTACTTTTCTTTGTCGCCATGATGAGCGCTCAGAATTGGAACAATGGTGGTCGATTTGCCACCTCCCATCAACAGCTGCAGTACCACGTTTTGCCCATTCTCTGGTGAACGCATCTGACTTGCGATGTATTCTTGCTCCTTGCGAACTAGGATGCCGCTTTCGGCCTCGAGGAGAAGCGTCTCAGGGAACTGACGCACATTCCAGTTGGAATGTCCAACGTGTTGTAATTCTTCCATAAGCTCTACCGGCTTGCTGGAGAGACGAACCAATCTCTGAGCCCTTTGCATATTAGTTATGGCCAAAGAATATTCTATGACGACCTCTTTCCAGTCTTCCGGCAAAAGTTCGAAGCGATCTCGATGCAGCTGACTGAGCCAAAAGGTAGGCGAAACCCGTGGCGCATGCTTAGTCTGAAACTCAATCTCGCTACGGAACAGACTTTCAAATGAGGAGGAGATCTTCTTGAGATGCCTGACACAGTCGTCCAAATGCTCTTTCAGAATGGTTGCGGCATTGACAACCAGCTCTTGTTGTGTGTAGTTGGTGTTGAGATGTTTTTCGAAGGCTTCACAGCTCATACGTAGATGCTCAACGTACTCTCGCTCACATTTCGATTTGGAATATGCAATGAGGTGTTTGCAAAGCCCTTCGAGCCTGTACATTGTCTGGGAATGCACTGTAGGCTCATGTGTTTTCGCAATCGTAATTTGTGGCTCAGATGGTGGTGTGGGAAAGCTCAAATTTGAAACTGGAGAAGATGTTAGGAAGCTCGCTTTAGACGAAGTCGCGAATACATGACACGCTGAACTATAACATAAGAGAAACCTACCATCTTTGCACGCGAAAGGTGTCGAGGCAGCAAAAATACTCCCTATGCTAAAAAAGCGGTTGCCAGGGTCCAGGCCCGCCTTTCTTTGAGGTAGAGAGAGGCAGTAATGCGGTGGAGATACGCTCAAGACAATCTGACGCGCCAGTACTTCTGTCGACCGCCCAAGATAGTCCAGGAACTGGCGATTGTCGTACCAGCTTTTGAAACAATCTCGAATTCTCACCATTGCTTCTGCAAGATCAAGATACCTCGTATACTCAAGCTTTGACTCTATATTAGGTGTTCGAACAGATGCTTGGTTTTGTAAGTCTTCAGCAATACCCTCGATTGCGTTGTTCTTCCGAGAATCAAACACTGCCTTCATTCGCCTTTCATGTTCTTCAAAACTCTCGTGGTTTTTTCTGGGTAACGTAGCTTCCGCCGATGTATCGAAGGATCTGGAATTTTGAACAAGAATCGAGCGTATCTTTGTGGCTTCATATTTATCTCCCCACGTCAAATCGAACCGGGAAGCAGCAGGCGGCCGTACGGCTGCCATTTCTCGTAGCCTGGAGAATGCTACCAGAGCTTGGATTATATCCATGTCAGCATTCTTGGCAAATGCCATTGTGCAAAGCCATGTCGCTAAACTGTAGCGGTTGCCAGCTTTGGAGAGGGTTTGATGTAGCGTGCACCAACTTGCAACAAAGTGCTTTGAGGGATCTTCAAGCCATTCAGAATCATATCCAAGACTTTCAGGATCAAAGGAATCGTCAACGCCTTGAACAGTAGCTCCTTGGAAATGCTTGCGAACAAGATTTTCCTTGAGATCCAAAATGCAGCTGTGCAAGGCAGCTTTATCGCGGAGGGCTAGAATGCCAGCGGTGAAGGCATGACGCCCCCTATCGTTTTGCACAATGTCCCTGGCCCGGTACTGAATGTCACGAGCTTTGTTGAAATTCTCAGCACCAAATCCTGCAACGCGGAAGGTACTTGATCGTAGCATATCACGTTGATCCAAGTGGCAGTCCGATAGAAGGGCCAGTTTCTGTTGAGCCTTATCGATCAAGGTAAAAACGCCATTGTCTGGATGAAACAATCGCATCTTTGCGGCTTGATTCAGCAAATTGGACACCGTCGTCCGAAAGGAGCCATGTTGCGAAAGTGATGGAAGACGCTCATCCCAATCAATGTTTTGCATCACCCTTAGGTTTTCAGGATACCACTGTCTCTTTGCGGAAAGCTCGGCTATATGACATAGAAGCTCTACATTTGCCGGAGTGAGAATATCGAATGAGCGTACTGCTGCTGAGCCAAGGATTTCAAGACCGCTTTCTGTACCAGTGCGGTGCGTCAACGGATCTGGAAGACATCCAGAGGTTATGGCATGCAGGTAGCTCAAGAAAAGTCGACTCTGTATCTCCGAAGTGTCCAACAGTCTACCAAGGTCTGTATCTATAGTGTATGCATACACCTTGTGAACACTTCCCTTGCAGATTGACACAATGGGGTGATGGCCAGAACGATAACTACTGGAGTAAGCGACGCTCGATGCATCAAAGGTGTTGGGTGCTGGTATGAGGATCAATTGTTCTTCCGTATACTCATGCTTGAGCACAAGCTTACTGACCAAGCCAACAAGAGTTCCAATGCTCTGGTTTTCATCAATAGTCATGTCGCGATACTGGCAAGAGTATATCGAACTTCCTCCTTGCTTGATGTAAAACCCGAGCTGAAGTCGAGGAAGCTCAATGTTGATCATTTGAGTTGCGATGTCGAGCTTGGCATGTATATGCTTCCCTTCTTCCAATGACCGGAGTATCTTAGAAAGCTTTCTCTCAGACTGACTTCTCAAGCTGATCAAGATCTCATGACCTTTTATCAGTTGCCAAGCACTGTTATGAACATTGCGAGCCAAACGCCACTCTTCAGGTGCTGACTCCCACGGGTTATCTCGACGCCGAAAGATTACTTCCTGCCGTTTGTGATCATACCAGTGGATGTAGTCTGTCAAGAATGCATCAGGGAGCTGCTCCTGCAATGCGCGTGATGGAACCAGATCGAACTTTGTGCTATCTCCATAGGCGACTACTAGCATATCATTGCCTTTCATTCCAAAGTGAAGCTTGTAGTCGTGGTATGAAGCCTTTGCCGAGAAACGCATTCCTGGTTCGCTGGTTGGTACGACTTCCAACGCTGACTTTTGGAACAAAGGTTTGTACATGTAATGGGACATGTATTCGACAGGAAGTCGAGACAATGGCAAACCATTTACAAGAAGTTCACCAGTAAGTAAGTTGATATGCACTGACAGCGATCCTGAGGTGGTCTTGAGCCAGTGTATCTTGCAGTCACCGAGTGAAGTCCAAGGGTTCTCTGAAGTTGGGTCGAACGCTGCCCAGTTTGCAGTGACAGCGTCTGAGAGACTTTGGCTGTTGGAGAGGATGCGATCACGTAGCTTGGGGAGGATCCGATACATCATAAACCTCCACGATAGAGTCGTGCTTCTCAAAAGAATCTCGTTCTCGGACTGGATGAAGTCGATATTCTCCTGGATAAGAATCGATGCCTGGATGAGGATCGAAATTGCTGATTCATGTTCTAGGATCGACCCAAAATCATCTTCTTCCACATCGTATGTGCTTGTGCATACAAGAGCAATTTCTGCTGCCCTTGAGTAGAGTTCTGTGCGCTGGCCATCATCTGTCGATGCAGCCGCTCTCTGCTTCAACTTTAGAAACCATTTGAGGCAGACAGATCGCAGTCGGACGAGATAATTAAATGCTCGTGAGCGGACTTCTTGGGCGGTAGTCAAATTCAGAACTCTTCGAGCTAGTAAAGAGAATGTGGCTGAAGCTCGCCATGATTCCCAATTTTCCTCAATGCGCCCAAGTGCGGTCTCAAGCTGGTCTAGCAATGCACGACCAAAGGAGGCTTCCTTGAGAATGTGATGAGTTGTACGCTCAATACATTGCTTTGGAAGTCCAGCTTGCTGTACGGCCTGGAAGACCATGCATTGTGACTCGACCTTTGAAAAGTCTATTGCTGGTACCGCCAGTTGGGTAAGAATGTTGGAATGCAAGATGTGGTTTCCGAGAGACAATGCGCACAAAGCCTTGTATTCATCAATGGAGAGGTGAGCTGGGCAGTCCGACAAACTGGCCTACGTGTTGAACCCCAGTTAGCATCTCCCATAGCATACTCTTTGCGAAGGTTGTGGAACTTACAATGACTTCATTTGCAGGAAGACCGTCGGGTGAATAGGGTAAACGGTACATGAAGCGTTCTAGTTTCTTTGATCGCTGCGGCATTTCGTACATACACCTCTTCGGGACCTCTTCCGTACATACTGGAATTGTTGTGTTGAATTGGTTGCTGGTAGTATCATAATAACGATATTTCAGCGCATTCTCCAAACACACGTCATCTTCCTTCAAATTTTGGACAGCTTTCATATTGTTTCTGTGCGTGACTGTGTGGCTTTTGACTTCGGACAGTGGCACGACAATTCTCCCCGAATAGTTTGCAGATAGTTCGCTAGATAGACCGTGATGGTTCTGGAGCGTAAAGTAGAATCTTGACGTCACTGGGGTCTTCTCGCGGCAACCCAGCACGGTTGTGATGAAGTAAGTTGAGGCATCTCTCCAGTTACTAAAAGCTTCGGGAACTTTTAATTCAAACACTGTTGCTTTTGCCACAGGTCTTGACGAGGACAGCGGCCACTCGTAGATTGAGATGCTCAGGTTGTCTGCGTTCATCTTGGCTGTACACCGGCCGCAATTATAATCATGAACCTCCGTGGTGTATCCATGGTAACGATTTGTAACTATCGTACGATAATCGCACAAAGTATTGTTGTAGGTGTGCATGTACTGGCGGTAAAGAACTTTGAGGCGCTCTAATTCCTCACACTTCTTTTTCCGGGAGACTGTAGCATCATATTCAATATTTTCCAACGTAGACTGGAGCAATTTGCATTGGTCGAAATATCGAACTGCGAACGAAAAAGGGTTACCGAACTCCCGGTATATAGAAGGTCTTCCCCGGATTGATTTGTGGCGTCGTAAATCAATATAGCCTTCGATAGTGTTGAGGCGACTCAGTTGGCTCTTCAGCGGAAGTACGAGCGATTGGAACTCCGTCAGATTGACCTCTGGATCGTAATCGGTCAACATGGGATAAACAGCGCATGCGCACCTATCGCATGAGATCCAAAGCTCGGCAAGAGTTAGGTACATGACTGACATGGCGATCGGTGACTGATCATACGCAGTATTGGCGATATTGTAGTAGATTCTCATCAACATACGAAGTTGCTCACAGGCGTTCGAATCATGGAGGTGGTTACGAGTCCAATCCGATAGGTTATGTTCGACCCAATGCTCCAGAGCCGCCAGACGAAAGTGCTTGTAGTCATCAGGGCCGTCCAGATTGGTTGGGAGGTTAGATGCACAGAACGTTGGGTATAGTGATGTAGGGACGTATGTTGACAGGATGTGCTCTTGCTTTCGAGAAATTATCTGAGACAGGAAGGCGTCCAGTCCCGAAAGGTTCATGTCAAGGTCGGCCTCGGGTTGTAGACTGGCAATAACGCTTGTGTCGATGTTACCTTCAGTGTTCTTGACCAAGCCAAGCCAGTGTTGGTTGATTAAGCGATGAGCATTGAAAATGCCAGTTTCGACGTAGCTGACCAAAGAAGTCTCGAGGTAATCGGACTGTTCGAGAGCCTTGAATTTGCGCAGTCGACGCATTAACTTCGCAGAGATGACATGGATTGGTTCGCTTCCCAAGATTTTCCAGTTGCGCTGAGCTAATTCAAGCAGTCGTGCTAACATGGAGACCATGAATGCCTTGTACAACCCGTCCTCGTGCAGTGTACCTGGTGCTTCGCGTACGAAAAGAAGCTGTAGCGATACACGCAACAAAAGCCACAGCGGAGAACGTCGCCATGGTGAAAGGCAGGTATTCCAGAGTACCTCTTCACGGGTATGTTTCCAGATGCGCTTGACGTCTATTGGCTCACCAAAAGCTGCGATAGTGTTCATATACAAGTTCGTGACTATGCCGGGATTGGTAGTGTCGCGTTCTTCGCTCATGATCTTTCCGTTCTTGGTGATTTTTGGCTGGAAGCTTGGGACCTTCTGAGTCGTCATCTTCGCCAAGGTACTGGAGATCGACTGAAGTAATCCTACATTGCGGGCCATTTTGGTCACGGGGATGCGTGCCGCATATCCCGGAAAGCTTCGTATGAGTCGTCCGGATTTCATAGCGGCTTCGTTAGTAGGTGAAAGCTCGAAGAACTCGAATTCAATGTTATCCCCAGAACGGCTGGCGAGTATTCCAGCGTTCTGTCCCCGAATCTCAATGGGAACTGCGCCAGCAGTATCGCCGTTCGTGATTTGGGCAAGAAGACGTTCCAGTTGTAGTTCGCTAGTGAGTCCATGCTTATCACGGCTACCACGGAGGTTTTCGACAGTGGCAATGGCCGCCATGACAGGCCCGACGTGTTCGTTCTTCACATGAACTTTCAGAGTTTTCAGAGCCTGGACAACGACCTCAAGGAGGGCAGCGTCATTTCGAGCGCTTCGATCATCTTGTTGTGGTAGCTTTGGTGGAAGAACCACATGGTGATAGAGATAGGCCGTGGTATCGGCTAGGGACTCCATGGCCTAGAACGCTTGGTGATCGTGTGCTGCTGTAGTTACGTCAGTATATCAAACATAGCTTCTTGTGTTTCTTTCTGTCACCAATAGCGCTTCAACCTGATCAGTGGAGATACTCACCTGTCTTAGGTTCGTAAATACAACAAGTGGTAGATGAGTGCGTTGTATCGTTGAAGCTGTGGAAGTGGTGTCACGACAATGTGAGAGAAAGATTGAAAGCCAAAGGCTCTGTAAATTTCAAGATAACTGTGCAGATAGTGCAAAATTTGATTGTGCGTATGGCGCTTTGTTGACAGTGAAACTGACAAACGGACTGAGCTCACTTTCACCTTATACCTGCGCGATATCCCGATAACCACGCCGCAAGATGGAATGAACGAGAATACCAAGTTGCTCAGCCATGAGCTTCTTGCTCCTTAATTCATGCGCATGGAGTAACTTTGGTCAAGTCAGGCCAAACTTTTGCTCACATGAGAAGGGTGCGCGCGTACAGCAAGGCTGGATGTACAAGGCAACAGCTTCCTCGAACCGGGAGTCCAATCCAGCTGCCAGACTTTAGATGTATGTATCCGAATTGAACCATCTGTGCTCTGTTACTGATCTCTCATTCGTAGGGACTCTGAATGCATGTTATCTCAGGCTGCGACGTCAAGCGGCGCGGAGACGCCGCAGTCTAAGCCACTCTCAACCTCCATCATCTACAGCCTTGTCGTGTCCTGAGCTTTTAACGATAGGATAGGAGCCTCTCAATCTGAATATCGAACCGCAGGGTGTGTTTATCGTTTGCGACGTGGGAGTGAAAGCAGAGAAAGTGGGCGGCCTTCTGAGGCATAGTAGTGCCATCATTCCGAGGTGAGGGCCCGGGTTTTGGGGAAAGGTTCTAGGAAGGGAAAGAGCAAGCCCAACATCACCGCCAAGATCAAAGACTATACTTCAACCCTATCCGCACCTGAACTCGCCTGCTTCACTACCCCATTAACTACAATTTACAGTACAGATATACATAGTATTTCTTCATCGACTGGAATTCATATTGTATTTTAGTAAGGGCCGACTCTTTTTCTCTCTCCATCAAAGTTAGGTCGAGTATTACGTATGTCCACGTAACGATGCAAAAGGGGGGGGATACGAGAAAACCCGAGTGCCAACCTCTTCTCCACAAGTCTCCACAAGCTGATTGTGAGCGATCTCAATAAGCACGGAGATACTACATTATGCGGCTTTGGAAACCCTCGCATTTTACATGTATTTATAGCAAAACCCCGCACTGATGCTCCCGGCTGCTCATGAATATACGCAGAAAACGATTGCAACTTGGTTTGATTATCGTATAGTGAACACATTGCATGTTTGTGCCCCAAAAAACGCCACGGATGCCAAATTCCCCTTTCCATTAAGGGTATTTTATCAACATGACCAAGAGGTTTGCTGATCAAAATGAAAGCATCCTCGGGCGTTGAAAAAAAAACCCATATACTACTACATTTGAAGAAAAAGAAAAACTCCATTGTCATAATCCGTGTTCAACATGCACATGGTTCACCGCGACTCGACAGCCATTTCCGGCGCGGGTTTAGGCATGGGCTTAAGCTCGGACCCGGCTCCGCTTTCCGCCCTCTTGCGACCTGTTAGGGAAAAGTGGTGACTCGAGGTAGGACGCTCTTCGGTGCGATCATTGGAGTGGTTGTTGTCGCCAAAGCGGGAGAAGATGCCGCGCTTTTTGGGCTGGGGCTTGGGCTCGTCATTCAGCCCCACATCCTCGAAGCCCTCCTCGGGTACCTGATCGTGGCTTTCGCTAGAGCGGCCTTGTTGCATGGATGAGCGGGGTGTGGCGCGCGAGCGACGGACGTCGAAAGAGCGGCGCGTGTCCATGGATCTGCGCGCATCGAGTGATTGGCGGGGATACGTCTCGTGGACACTGTCAGTGATTGGCGAGCGCGCGGAAATGTCCTGGCCGGTGTTAGAGAGGAAGTTGCTGCTGCTACTGGCTATAGACGTACAAATGATCTTCGATATGAATCAAAACTTTCGCGCGAAATGCTAAAGGGCTCATTTTCGGCAAGAAGGCTCCGGTGGTTCGATGAGGTTGTCGAGACGTTGGACTTGGTGTGCCAGAAGGTAGGCTTCTCGTTGTGTGGTGAGGGCTGTCGCGCAGTGAGCCAATGTCTCTCAATGTGGCAGTCTCTGCCCTCGCAATTCACATGCGCCGCATCAATTCCATGTGCGCTCAAAGGGCTAGTCTTACCGGCAAGTAGACGCCGCTATCGTTGATCTCTACGCAAACTGTAAGCGCCTGGCCGTCACATATGCAGTGCGCGGAACACGCCTCGCGCGCCCGGAATATGGCATGAGAGTCTCACCACTCAATTTGTATTCTGCTGGATCCTCCAGCTGCAAGGGCGTAGCTCCCGAGACAGTTGCGGTCTTGAAGTCGTTCTCCGGAGCGTTCCGTTGGGCGTCATCAGCCTGGTCAGGCGCACCAGCGCGACGGAAAGGGTTGCGGATAGGCATGGCGGTAGGGCGGTGCAGGCAGAAAAGAGCGGTACAAAGAGGCAGAGTGGAGTATTGTTGCAGGCTGCGAGTTTAGCGGTTGTGAATCCAAGAGGAACTGCTCGATCTAGCGACTAACATCATGACTTCCGTCGCCGAGCCAATCGGGCAGGAACCAAGGCCATTTGGGGTTTGGTGTCGGTGCAGACATGATCCGGAATTCGTGCGAGGGGCGTGGCGCCCAAAGACGTCATGGTACAGGAGTGTCGAGACAGCGACTTACTTGAGAGGTCAGAGTCTCTCCGTCAACACTGGAGGCTGTATGTATGTATGGCGAACGCTGAGGGGACGATGAGGGGCAGATGCAGCAAAGCAGGAAGGCCTCCGGGCGGTCCCTGCATAAGACGACATGGGAATCCGTCAGGTACCGAACGACGTGAACCGAGGGCGCGTCAGCTAGCCACCAGTGCGCCCATAAAACTGCTTGTTTGCACCTCGCATGACCCGGCCCCAATTATCGTGAACAGAGCTATCGTTTGGTACTTAGTGGTGGTGGTGGTGGCTGCGGCGGGGAGGGGGGCAGAGGGGCGCGGAGGAGCAGGCGCCCGTTTCGCAGACCAAGCAAGGAAAAGAAAACAGAAACGGAAATGCAAAAAAATGGCTGCTTCAGGGTAGGATGACGTTATTAGACGAGACGCGTGCCGCTCATTCGAAACGGGCGTGGCGTTCCTTGTTTCTCAGGCAAAGTCTCCGGGCCATGTCTGTCTCCATGACCCCGCGACGAAACGTGTGCCTCAGCCATGGTTGCCCCCGTTCGCAAAATGACACAGCCAGGGACACCAAAATGGGAGCGAGCAAGACCTACCTCGGCCAGCTGAGGCAGCATCACTTTATTTTCGGAAGACGAGCAGCAGGGCCCCCTGAGGTGATTGGAACCCGCTTCTTCCGACCGGCCGTCGATTGCAAATGACCTTCCGCCGCGGTGGTGTCTTTGCCCTAAGGTTCTGACACGCCTTATCTTGGCCGCATTTCACGTCAGAACGCTAATGGTACGTTAGGCGTAGGTTATGGAGAAGGAAAAAAACTTGGTGCATGAACTATTGACTAGCTGGCAGGGCTTGCACCACGACCAAGACGGAAAGACTGCAATGGTCAGGAGGCAAGGGATTGAACATGGACGCAGACGAGAGGAGCGAAGGGCTTTTGCAGGGCCCCACAGCAAATACGACGAGTGACGGCATCGCATGTCATGGTGGTATGTGCGAAGACTTGGAGGTGGGCGTGCAACAGTGGATTGTTACGTTTGCACGCGGTCACTGCGTGTGGCAGGATGAGACGGCCTGAGTCTATATGTGTGTAGATATAGTACATGTGTTTACTGCATGTGTGCATCACATCTGGGCGCCACAGCAACCGAGAGAGGCTCCTGGATTCATGGGCCAAGATGGGTAGCTGTGGCTCTGGCTAGCTCACCCCAGCGACGAGGGAGGCCAGGCGCTTTGGTTGGCAATGGGAGCAGCGACTAAAAAGGTACAAGATTTGGCATTTGTCCACGTGTGGTGTAAGAAGGGCGCGGAGCAGAGCAGTACGGGGTGGCCAAGGCGCAGGAGTACGAGAGAGTTTTGCCGATCACCAGCAAACAGAATGGTGCCAATATTACGGTACTTACTGCACACACTAACGGGGTGGTGCATCCCACGACTCTGCCGAGACCGGGTGGACCCTCCAAGACGGCATCACCTTGGCTAGCAAGTGAGATTTTTGGTATCCAAGGCCCTGGTGGTGTGCAATTAACCAGGCAAAGACAGGATTGCTTGCATGCAGACTGGATGCCATGGAATCTCCATGTCTTGTGGGTGATGTGGATGCAGCCTATGGAGCAGCAGCAGCAGCAGCAGCAGCGGTCACCAACCCAGGGCAAGTAATGGCGCTCTCTTGGCTGTGCTACTTATTGCCTTGCTTGAATGAGGCTGTGTCGGTGTAAGATTGAGTAGGCTTGCATGTAAGTAAATACACACATCTACTATATACATGTATCGATTGTGCATGCAGGTTAATCGATAGCCTAGAGGCGCGAGAGCCAAGCGGACGGAACCTGCATGGGCGGCGCGCCGGTACCATGGCTGGAAGGAGACTTTGCAGTCGAATAAAGGAGAAGAGTGACAGGAGATGCGGTGTGCGCTGGGTGTGGCGGTTGCACGTCGATGTCGTACTCGATGGGCGTGCAAGACGCCTCTCCCACTGCTGGCCGTCCTCTATTTTGTCCTGAGCCGCAGACGACAGGGACAGGCACAAGGACCCCCCGCCCTGCCCTGGGTGAGATGGGTGGGCCCGTGCACACCCACCCCGGCCACGGTGCAAAACCCATCATGGTGGTGGAGCTATTGCGGGAATTGCTGCTTGCTCTTGTTATGACAAGTGTCTCTAAACGGCCGTATGGGAGTCCGCGGTTAACAAAGACGAAACACGGGTCGACCAGGGCCTTGCGACATCAACGGGCCGGGCAATTGTCGCTGCGACGGGCTGCCGGGCTGCTGGGCGCAAGGCTTGGATGACGAGGTCCAATGTCATTGTGATGGTGATGGGCAGAAAAACATCACGACATGTGGAGAGGCGCATCCTCCTCGTGCGGAAGATGGATACGATGTGGACGCGACGGATAACGGATAACGGAGCACCACTCCCCTGCCCAGCAGCAGCCGAGAGCGCCACGTTCCTGGTGGCGTCGGCGGTAGTCTAACTGGATGGTGCCGCTGCCGTCGCCAACGCACTGCGCCAAAAGAGACGTCAATTGGACCTGGACGAGTGTAGTTGGGCAAGAGGATGAGGCTACTGGGAACGTGCGATTGCAGGTCCCGGTCCAAGTACATCTAAGTGTTAAGTTGCGTATGTACACTACAGCACTTAGTACTCGTTAGCTGCAAGCGCGTCGCCGGACTGGCATCTATTATTGGCCGTCATCGGGTCTGCTCTAGGGTTGCTAATGTGTCTCGTATGGGCTCCACATGGGTGCCAACCTGCCAGACACAGACGTTGAATGTTCCAACCACATTTGCCTACCGTCGCTTGCTATTTCCAGCCTGTAGTCCTGCCGTCCGCCCGTGGCACGCATGCACGGCCGATGCGCCAGCCCAGCTTTGGCCAGCACCATCGACTCGTCCCCCTCACACACACCAAGCACCCTCTGCCCCGATGTTTCCACCGCTGGGCCCGTGTATGTGGGCGGCGATCGACCGTGTGCCTACCCCCCTCCCCCCCCGATATAATATTTCCTCTCCCCTCGCCCCATCACCGCCCTAGTGATTCCCGTCTTCCAAGACGTTCCACGCTCGTTTCCACCACACCACCACATCCCGCCCAACCACTCGCTCGCTCCCCTCTTCACTCTGCTCATCATAGTCACGGGATCTGCTGGAAAAGGACCCATCCCTCGCTACCCTCCTCGCCATCTACTACTACACACCACTACCACCCCTCAACCCTCTTTCACCACTGCCGCCCATTGTGCCTTCCTGCCGTTGTCACATTGTCACGCGCCTTCCCATTGTTTAGCGGCACCTTCCCTCTTTGTCCTCGGTCTTGTCCTTGTGCTTGCCGCACAAGCCCGTCCAATAACAAGCACTGCTGCTTGCTTCTCCTCCGCCACCTGACCGCGTCCACCCCCCTCATCAATTATTCTTACTGTGGGACGGAGTAGCCGCCTCACCTCTTCACTGCAAACATGGGTTTCGGGGCGTCTGATGATGGCGTCTTCTTCACCAGTTGGGAGTTGTGGCAGAAGATGACTTTTGTGAGTGACACAAACGGCTTCTGTCAGTGACACACTAACACGCTGTCTCCAGGTTCTCGCCTGTGGCATCGTCCTCACCATCTTCATTGGCTTCATCAAGCTTTCCTTTGACAAGAGGAAGCTTCGCAAGTACAGCAAGGTCGACAAGGGCAAGAGGGCACAGTCGCCCGAGATGCTCGAGGCGCAGCCTGTGACCCAAGTAACGGAAGATCCCAAGGACGAGATCCCATTCGGCATCCGTGCTATCCAGAGCGGTATCGAGGTCGACGGTGTGTGGATCTCACGATCAAACACGCCCGTTGGCAGCAGCCGCGCTTCTATTATGAGCGAAAAGTTCCCTCGCACCAACTCGCAGCTCGAACTCCCGCAACCAGTCGCCCAGGGCTCTAGCCGCAACAGCTCGCGCGCTCCAAGCTCATTTGACCGTGCCGTCTCTGCTGAACCACTGTCCAACACCGAATCGCGTTCTTCATCGCCCGCTCGCGGACACCAGCACGACGGACCCCGCTGCAGCAACTGCAACCACCACGTCTCTCAGTCGGCTCACTTGTCTGGTTCCTCTTCTCCATGTAGGTATTCACCAGAGGAACTTATGATCAATGCTAATCATCCCTCAGCTCGCACCAGCCCTCTCGGACAGGTCGAAGCCTCTTCCAAGTCGAGCAGCCGCAACAGTGATGAATCCGACTACATGGCTATTAACCAGGACGTGCGCGCATACGAGACTGCATACCTCCCACCCAATGGCGCTCACAGGACCGTCGACCCAAAAACGGATCTCGATCTTCTCCGAAGCCACCGTCTCTCCCACGTCGCCGAGACTGGACAGCTCATGCCCCGTGTTCGCAAGCCAGGCCACAGCGGAGAATGGGCTAGCGTCGCAGAGAACCAGGTTTCAACGCTCAACGGTGTCAACTACTTCACGCCTCGGAAGTCGCCCTCTCCCCCGCTTTCCACTGGTATCCACCCATCTCAAGATATCGTAGCGTCCTCTTCTGGCCCTAGCCATGATGGTCACGCAGCCAACCAGGCCAGGCAAGCAATTCCTCTTACCGAATCCTACGCGCCTAATGCCCCATTCTACCCCGATACCTACCAGCCGCATGGCCCAAGCCACCAGTACAGCTATGATCAGGTCCCCTACCAAGTTATGACGGACCAGAATCAGGACCGCAATGAGCAAGTTCTCCGCAAAGTCAACTCTGGATTTGAGATTCTGCGACCAGGCACCTTCAAGGAGCCTACTCTTGAGGAGCTTGAGCTCGCCGAGCGGAGAGCATCCAAGAAGCTCCAAAAGAAGCGGAGACCATCGACTGACTCGCGGAAGTCTGCCTTTACGGAGCAAGTTTGATACATTGTTGTCTCAATAGCTCTACTCTGACGTAATACCCCTGCTGTACGCGTCGCCGCCATGCTGCGACGGTCATCGTACCACACCCCTACGTGCTGGCACCATGCTGCATCAAAATTTTTACGTTGTTTTAATCATGTACCATTTTGCAAACTTGGAGCTTCTGGACTACATTTGGGCACATGGCATGTATTTTTGAAGACGCCATGGAATATTTCCACTGTGGTTTTGTTTCCTTTTTCCTTTTCTCTCCTTTGCCCCGCCGCAACAGGTTGCTTGGCCTTTACGAATTGCGAGCGGCGTTATAGTAATCATTTACCACGTCCGTCATACACACATTACATGGGCGTTTTTTGTTGGAACTCAAAAAATGGTTGGGGGAAGCGGCGTCAACCTAACGATCATTTGAACTTGCATCGAGTAAACTTGGGCGGGTTAGTTTCTCAATCTGCATGGGGGGTGGTAGACAATAACGAATCCTTTTATTTTACCGAAAAATAAAAATAAAAATATGAACATTTGATGGAAAGTTTCCTTGGCCAGGGGACTCTACTAATAATTCAATGCATTAAGACACATCTTACCCTGTTGTTGTGCTTGCATGGGCTATCAATCGCAATAAACACCCCCCCCCCCCCCTTGAACTTCAAATGACCTCATCTCTTTCGGACCATTTATTTTTGTGCGCACAGAGGTCGCACAGCACACAGTTCAACAAAAAGAAAAGAAGCCCAAAAATCCCTTTAAATTTTTATTTTCCTTCCGTCACGCCATGGCCATGGCCATGCGCATGGACGCCTCTCCTCTTTTTTCCCTGGGGTTCTTTTTTACGTAAGGTAATTGCACGTGGGGTTTGGGGGGTTCGAGAAAGAGAGAGAGAGAGAGAGAGAGTCATGGAGTTATTTTACACAAGTACAGAGAGAGAGAGATGAAACATACACCCTTTTCTTTTTTTTTACACGAACTTTTGAAACTAATCGATTACTACGGACTCCTTTGTGAATGTATTGTTTCGTTCTCGGCAAGAAGTGTGGACGTGGATGGGATGGGATGGGATGGGATGGTATAGCATAGCGGAGGATTTACGCACTGTGGTGGGGTGTTTTGCAGGTGGAAAGGTGCGTATGGGTGTGGTTCTATCTCTCTCTCTCTGTTCTCTCTCTCTGTTCTCTCTCTCTGTTCTCTCTCTCTGTTCTCTCTCTCTGTTCTCTCTCTCTGTTCTCTCTCTCTGTTCTCTCTCTCCGTTCTCTCGTATGCGCGCGTGTACTATGTATGTGTGGGTGTATGGATCTCCCACGCGTGAGCGCGAGCGCTCATATTCCTCCCCACCTCCCCCCGAAGTTTATCACCAATGCGGGACGCGGAAGTGCCCGGAATCGAGGAGGAAATAAAAGGCTAAGCGTGCTTTGTAAGGGTACCGTTTTGGGGAAGGGCAAAGGGGAGTATGTGTGAGTAAGGCCAGTAACATCTAGTGTGAGTTAAGAGTCGTCGTGTGTGTGTCTGAGGCAGTGAACGCGTAGCTGGCCAACCTCCAAAAAAAAGTAAGGGGGTGTTAGAGGGGATTTTTGCTTTTTAGTGTTTCATGTTTCGTGTTTTTCTGGGGCTGTTGGCTTGGATGAGGAAATGCATGATGATGGCTTTTCTTGTCATGGGAGAATCCGGGGGGTTTGACTGGGAGGAGTTTTGGGAGATGGGTTTACGTCATGTTGCGATTGCGCATTTGATTGGGTTTGATTGATAAAGTGAGAAATTGAGGAGGCTGGGGGAAAAAAGGAAACTTGGAAATACACTTCACGAACGGAACGTCTTTTCATGAACCGAATCGTAGCGTGTATGTTTTTTTTGTTTGGGTCTCGATCTCTCCTTCCGCGTCCATATCGTAGCCGAATGGAACAACAAGTATAAAACGGGAGTTTGTTGCCTCATCGCCTTTTTTTTCCTTTCTTTCTTTCGTCCCTTGTTCATGAGACATGTGCAGTATCATGACCTAAGCATAGACCGAACAAGTATAAACACATGTTCGCTTCTTGTTGTGTTCCCTAAACAATTTACCCTTCTTTCTTCCGCGACGGATCGTTGCGGTTGCCGAAAGTTGTTTGCCTTTCAGTCGTCCCACATAAAGCAATAGCTTCGCTCGTTGGTAAATTGACTATATTTACTTTGAAACATAGGTGCACGTATACGAATGTCTATTTTACACACTATGGCGTTTTTAAAATTATAAGCTAGT